CATCTCATCCTCTGTCATCCCCTTCTCCTCCTGCCCTCAATTCCTCCCAGCATCAGGGTCTTTTCCAGTGAGTCAACTCTTTACATGAGGTGGCCAAAGTATTGGAGTTTCAGCTTCAGCATCAGTCCTTCCAATGAACACCCAGGACTGATCTCCTTTAGGATGGACTGATTGGATCTCCTTGCAGTCCAAGGGACTCTCAAAGAGTCTTCTCCAATACCACAGTTCAAAAGCATCAATTCTTCGGCGCTCAGCTTTCTTCACAGTCCAACTCTCACATCCATACATGACCACTGGAAAAACCGCCTTGACTGGACTGACCTTTGTTGGCAAAGTAATGTCTCTGCTTTTTAATATGCTATCTAGGTTGGTCATCACTTTCCTTCCAAGGAGTAAGCGCCTTTTAATTTCATGGCTGCAGTCACCATCTGCAGTGATTTTGGAGCCCAGAAAAATAAAGTCAGCCACTGTTTCCCCATATTTGCCATGAAGTGATGGGACCAGATGCCATGATCTAGTTTTCTGAATGTTGAGCTTTAAGCCAACTTTTTCACTCTCCTCTTTCACTTTCATCAAGAGGTTTTATGTATTAGATGCTCCTATATTGGGTGTGTATATGTTAGCTAGTAAATATCCTTTTATTATAAATAAAATAAAATATCCTTTTATTATATTGACCCTTTTATCATCATGTAATGTCCTTTGTCTTTCATTACAGCCTTTGTTTTAAAGTCATTTCTGTCTGATAGTTTTGCTGCTCCTGCCTTCTTGTCATTTCCATTTGTATGAAGTGTCTTTTTCCATCCCCATCCTTTCAATCTGTGTCTTTGCCCTAAAGTGGGTTTCTTGTAGACAACATAACGTTGGTTCTTGTTTTATTATCCAGTCTGCCACTCTTAAGTCTTTTGATTGAAGCATTTAGTCCATTGGCATTTAAGGTAATTATTAATAGATATGTATTTATTGCCATCTTAAACCTTGTTTTCCAGTTCATTCTGTATTTGTTTCTTTTGCTTTCTGTGTTTCCTTTTGTGGTTTGATGGTTTTCTTTTGTTCTATGCTTGAGTACCTTTCTTCTTGGTGTTTGTGAATCTATTGTAGGCTTTTGATTTGTGGTTACCTGGTTTCCAAGTTTGTTAATCCATTACTGTATCTTCTTGCTTTAGATTGGTAGTCATATAAGCTCAAACACAGTGTAAAAGATCAACATTTTCATACTCCCTTTACCCACATTTTGTGATTTTGCTGTCCTGTTTTTACATCTTCTTGTTTATCCTTTTCTGTTCATTGTAGTTATAATTACTTTTGAAAGGTTGTTGCCGAGCCATGAAAGACACCAGGATTCTTGGCTTACGAGGAGAAGAATTCAGTCTGGGGCCAGTGACGAGGCTTGATAGCTTAGAGCTTTTGTGTAATAAAGTTTTATTAAAGTATAAGAGAGATAGAGAAAACTTCTGACACAGACATCAGAAGGGGCAGAAAGAGTGCCCCCTGCTAGTCTTCAGCCGGATGTTACAGAGCTACCAGCAGACTGCTAAGTGGAGAAAGGGCTGTCTGGAAACTCGGAGACTGGCTCCAGGCCCCTCACCCACAACATGCATTTTGGGATAGCACTGGCCTAAGGGGAGCTGTCCCAGGCCGTAAAATGATGGACATGAACCTTGAAGAAAGGCAGGTTTCCAAGCAAACACAGTCCCGCTAACATAGCTTAAGAGAACACTTGCATGAGTAAAACATACTGGTTTGTCAGGTCAGTTCTGAGTCTTAGGTGGAACCACTTGAAGATAAGAGTCTAGGGTAAATACATAGTTCGTTAACATAGCTTAAGACAAACATTTTTGTAAGAAAAATGCATTGGTTAGCTCAAGGTTTGAGAAAAGTTCAGGTGGAACCAGGTGTTATTGTGGCAACACAGAATTTTAAAAAGAAGCCTCTTTTTAAATGCATATAAAGAAGGGGAAAAAATCTAACACTTGTTTGTTTCCTCCTCCCACTTAAGACAGATGAAAAATGTCTGACACTTGCAGCCTATTTCCTTGTTTGGAGACCCCTGGCCTTCCTGCCTGTTACCCTCTCACTTTCTTAAATTTTTTCTCTTAATCTCTGTACTGATTTATTTAAGTGATTTACTTTCCTAGTGTTGCTCTTCTCTTTGCTCTAGATTCCTGCTTCTCTATTTAGGAACTTTTTTCAATTTTTTTTTTTTTTAGGATAGGTCTAGTGTTGCTGTATTCCTTTAGTTTTTGCTTGTCTGAGAAATTCTTTATCTCTCCTTCTATTCTCAATGGTAATATTGCTAAGTAGAGTATCCTAGGTTGCATGGTTTTCCCTTACTTTGAATATATCCTGCCACCAGAGAAATAAGCCAGTAGCCTTAAGGGGGTTCCCTTATACCTAATTCTTTTTCTTTTGCTGCCCTTAAAATCCTCTCTTTTTAACTTTTGCCATTTTAATTATAAAGTATCTTGGTGCAGATCTGTTTGTCTTGGTTGGGATCATCTGTGCTTCCTGTACTTGGATATCTGTTTCCTTCTTTAGGTTTGGGAGGTTTTCAGCCATGATTCTTTTCAATTTTTCAAATACATTTTCAACCCCCTTTTCTCTTTCTTCTCCTTCTGGGATCCTATAATGCATAGATTGGCATACTTTATATTATCCCATAGGTCTTTAAGTTGCTTTCATCTTTCTTCATTTGTCTTTTTGTCTGTTCTTCTGATTGGGTGATTTCCAGTATTCCATTCCATCTTCCAGATCACTTCTTTGTTCTTTTGCATTATTTAGTTTGCTGTTTATTCCTTTAGTTTGGTTTTCATTTCAGCACATGAGTTTTCTAATTTAATTGACTCCTGAGTTTACAAGGACACCAGCATCATAAATCTGCCAGTCACGCATCTATGGGGACGCGCCCAGATTTCAGCCCTACCTCTGGGTGTAGGCAGCCTGCTGGCACTTGTGTGTTCCCCACGCTAGTCGAGTCAGAGCCACGCCTGCTGTGGGCATGCCAAAACTGAGGCCGCCCCTCCCTCACGCTTGGATGTACCATGGGGCTTCTGTGGCAGAGCAGGCTTCATCCTGTGCACACTTGCAGTTGCAACCCAGACCACGCTCCAGGGCCGTCCTCTCCAGGATCTGTCTGCCGAAACTTGAGTTTCGACACTTAGCCCCCAGGCGCACCAGCAGACGTGCGTCCCAGGCTCGGGGCGCAGCAAGGTGGCCAGGACCAGCTGGGCTGCCCTCCGTTCTGCCTTCCGTGGGCCTCTGTTGCTCTCTTCTCTGAGCCTCTGGAGCACCCTCTCTGTCCCAGCTGATTGCCTAGCCAGTGATGGGGATTCCCAGAGGGAGGGAACTTTTTTTTCTTGCACCAGTTCCATCCCAATTCCTTTTTTTTTTCCTCTCTTCCCCTTTAATCTTACCACGTGATGATCTTTCTTGAAACTTTGAGTGTATGAGATATGCTAGTGTTCAGTAGGTGTTTTGTGAGAATTGTGTGTTCTGTCAGCTCTGCCCTCTTCTATTTTGCCATCTTGATGTCTCCCCTAAGATAAATATTCCTCAGTTGGGCCATCTAAGAAATGATTGTTTCTTTACATGTGATTTACATGTAACTCACATGTCCTACAAAGTGTTACACGCCAGCTGCCTCTGCAGGTTTGCTACTTAGGAAAGAAAGCAGACCACTGTCAGAGTGAAGGATGAAGAGCAGCAGCTATGTATGGACTCCAGTTTGCTTCAGTTTTACATTTCTTATTCTACTTTGATTCTTTGAAGAGCTAGAAAATGCATGCAATACAAATGTTGAAGAGCATATTCATATTGTTACTGTTTTCATAGAACTTTGACCAATAGTGGCTGCTTTGACTTAGAAATCTGACTGCATTAGTCCTGCCTGTTAAGGTTTTAAAGCATTATAGGCTTGGACTATACCTCAAAACTACTACATAAGTAGCTCTAAAAGTTATATTTAGGTATATTTATTTTTCAAAATCTTCATGGCTGAATCTGATACACAAATAAGGTTGAGAACCACTGGCCTATAGGATAAACTTTGGATTGTAAGCCATGATCTTCAGAGTCAGGGTCAGTCTGGTTTTCTGGTCCATTCGCCCTATTCCCTGTATCTACTTTCCTACCTTTGTAGCAGTATTATAGAACCTACCATTCTCCAGAGTTTTTTTTTAATCTTCCTGGATGTTTCATATATTTATATACACACATACACATACATTTATATGTATATAAGGAGAGAAGTCAAACCAATCCTAAGTAATTTCAATGCATTCCTAAATGAAGTTCAAGAACATTTATAATACAGATACATCCACCACCAAACAAGGTAACAGTCTTTTTAGCATCCAATCAGAAATCACCAAGCATGAAAAAATAATAATGAAGAGAAAAAAACCCATAATGAAGACAAAAAATCAACCATTTGAAACCAAGCTAGAACTGACAGATGTAAGAATTAGCAGATATGAACATGTTTAAAAATTTAGAAGATATGGAAAAGGTAAGAAGACAATCAAGTGCAGAAGTGAATAATGGGCAGGCCACGCGTGGACTGGAATACTGGATTCTGACTTAAAGCTTGCTGCCAGGTGCACCTTAGTTGTCAGCTGCCATTCCCTGATACGTTTTCATGTGAGTCTGCAAGCAGTTGATTAATTACGGTCTCTGTGCAGTCAAGCCGCTGTTAATGGTAACTGTACTTGCATCCGCTCCCCGGCAGCAGCATCACCGCCTCACTTGTCCACCAGATCGTCAGGTGCTAGATTCTCACAGGGAACCTAGATCCCTCATGTGCACAGTTCACAGTAGGGTTTTCACTCCTACGAGGACAGAGTCTGAGGCCACCCCTGGTGTGACAGGAGACAGAGCTCAGGTGGTAACGCGAGCAGTGGGGAGAGGCTGGAAATAGATGAAGCTTCACTTGCTCACCTGCCTCTCACCTCCTGCTGTACCCGGTCCATGGCCGAGGCCCCTGTTCCAGATGGCACTCAAAGCCAGGAAGATTGCTGACCACTGTGCGTGTGTGTGTGCGTGCGCGCACGCACATGTGCAAAACTGATCCATCTTTACATCTGCTTCCTTTTATATCTGGTTACCAGAACTCATCTGAGTACTTGAATGAGTTAGTCTAAAGGACTGGACATTACTCTTTCATTATTTGAATTTAGAGTTTATGTTTAGATTAAAAAAGAAAAAATCTGTTTCCTGCCTTCTAGTTTATAAAGTCAGTGAAGACATCTGTTATGTCTGGTTTTGCTTATCATCCCCTGTCCCCAACACATGCCTAGCACTCAAGATGTTTCTTGACTGGCAAGATACATGGGAAGGAATCACATTTGCCATACACTCTTACTAGCAGAATAGAGGTTGCAGCTTTGTCTTTTAAGTGCCTGGATGTCTTAAGTGACTTAGGATAAAAAGGACAGCATGAGGAAACAGCGTTTGCAGTCTGAATCCCAATTCTGCCAGAAACTATGACCTTAGGCAAAACCTTAGGCTTTACTTTTCCTAGGCTTGATTTTCTTACCTAAAAAGATGGATAATCCCACCTTGCCTTGGTAGTATATAAAGTATCTAGTAAAGTATCTTGTGTTTAACTGGGTGTTTATGCTAATTAGCAGTTATTTTACTTAATACATAATAATAGCAATAAAGTTGTGTATGGACAGAGTTCCCTTTTTAATAAAATCATCAGCAGTAGGTAAAACAGGACCATTCTGTGTCTAGGTTAAAAATCGAGAGTTTATTGAAATAGAACATTTATGTCAAAACTAAGAAAAACTTTGCAGGTCTTTTATGTTGATACCACTAAATAACTCCAGGATTTTAAATCCAGTTCACTGATTGGTTCAACAATAAAATATCATTTGCCAAGCACTGTTTTAGGTACTGTGCTCGGTTGCTAAGTCATGTCCGATTCTGCGACCCCATGGACGGTCGCCCAGCAGGCTGACTTTGTCCACGGGATTTCCTAGGCAAGAATACTGGAGTGGGTTGCCATTTCCTTCTCCAGTTTTAGGTACTAGAGATACAGTAATGAAAAACAGTCGAGGCCTCATGGAGCGGACATTCTGGTTCAGAGACAAACAGTAAAGATAATTTCCAATCAGAACTGAGAACCATGTAGGCAAAAATGTGGATATTTAAGAGTGGGAGGACAGAAAGCTGCTTTAGATGGGACATATGTATGAACAGTTTTCATAGCTCTAAACTGTCACAGCCGTATGAAGGACTTCTGAGCACTGAGGAGAGCTGGGCAGTTGTGTGGCAGTGATATCCACGGTTCTTGATGTGTATTATATTACGATGTTAAATTGACTCTTAAAATTTCAGAATACTGAAAGAAAGAAAACATTTATTGATTATTTTGTAGGTACAGAATAATGTTGGAGACTTTTCAGATAAAAAAACGATGGACTCAGGAGTTATTTTGCTTGAAATTACAGAATTCCTGAGCAGAAGAGCTGGAACTATATTATAGATTTATGGGGGGAAATGCTTTAGAAGCCAGAGTGTGATGCTTCTGTTACTACAGAAAAATAATTTTCTTTTCAAACTTCTTCACCACCACAACCAAGGAAGGATATGATATGAGGCGAGTGGACATAACTCCGCTAGAACAAAGGAAGTTAACTTTTGATACACATGCATTGGTTCTGGACTTGGAAGCTCATGGTGAGAAACATGGATCCCTCCTGAAGGAGAACGTTAACAGCACTCATGATAGATTACCTAGTCAAGGCAACATCACCGTTATCAACCATTACAAGTCGTCATTTAAATATAAAACCTGTCCATAAGTGGAGTATTTTAGTCATGAAAATGGTATGACTTAGAAAATATTTACTGAAAAGAGAAATGCTCAAGATGTGTTCATTTAAAAGCATTATGTAAGATTACATGTACAGAATGTTTCCAATTATGTACAAAAAACAACCATTGTTTCTAGTATGATATTAAGTTCATGTAGAAGTACAAGCACAACAGAAAAAAAGAAAAAAATTTTTTTTTTTTTTGGCCTGACAATCTTTAATACTGGTTGAAAACAGACTGATGTTTGTTGCTGATGGGAGATATCGTTAATCCAATGTGCAAAAAAAGTGCAGCTGTCTATTTGTACTTAAGATACGTAAGACCAATGCTTCTGTACTATCTACACAGGTAAAAGTTTTTAAATATAATGATTTCAGGAAGGACACTGCATCTTCTTTATGGATAATCACGTGCTGCCGAGAGCCCAAAAGCTTGATGACACTCTTTAAGTTACACAAACGTATCCAAAGAAGTATACCTGTTCTTGTCCTAATTTTGATCGTAAACAAAAACCCAATTTCAAAATTAGGAATTATTTTGATCTAGGAAATCTTGGACTTGTTGCAAACGTGCAAACCTTGTCTCTGAGAGCCAGGTTCCTACACTCCCTTTTCTAATCCTGTCACCACTGATCCAGCCCACAAACCCCATCAGCTGCAGAGTAGCAATACCCCAAATAAGAGTAAAAAAAAAACTCAGCCCTCAAACCACCCATATGCCTTCTGGTCATGTGACATCTTTAGGGGCAGGTACAGGCAATCAAAAAGGATGAAGAATCACTTCAGCAAAGCAACCATTATTTGTCCACAAAAACCATGAAAAACAGTGATAGAAAATTAACAAACCAAATATATAAATCTGACACCATTCTGCATTTCCAGAACTTGTTTTATTTTCTATTAAAAATTTAAAAAATCAAAGGTCACAAAAAATTATCAGATATGAAAACAGTTACTTAAAGTATGTGATACTATAGGAATAGAAGAGTTGACTTGAAGGAGTAAAGTGGCATTCAGAAACAAGTGTGTGTGCATATATGAATATATATATCATTGTAAGGTGTATATATATATATATATCTTAGAAAGCAATTACAAAGGCATTACAAATTAGGGAAAGGAAGGACTTTAATAATTGAGTTATGATAAATGACTGGCTATTCGAATAAATTCCTTTACTGAAAATAAATTCTAGATTGATTAAAAGCCAAATGTGAAAAACTATAAAAAATATTATAACATAGAAATATTTTTAGACTTTTATAGAGTAAGGAAGCAAGACATAAGACTGAAAGGCAATGAAAGTAAAGACAGACAGATGCGACCACAGAAATATTTAAATCTGTGTATCAAGGATATCTATAAGGTTAAAAATGTTAGCAACACGTGACAGCCTATTGCTTTAATATACAAAGAATTCATATGAGTCAATAAGAAAAGTTAAGCAGTTTTATAGAAAATGGACAGAGGCCATAAATAGCTCTCAGAAAAATAAATATATGTAAAGATGGGCTGTTGTCCTTAGAAAAATAAATATATGTAAAGATGGGCTGTTGTCCTTAGTCGCTCGGTTGTGACTGACTCTGCAGCCCCATGAGCTGTAGTCCGCCAGGCTCCTCTGTCCATGGGATTCTCCAGGCAAGAACACTGGAGTGTGTTGCCATGCCTTCCTCCAGGGGATCTTCCCCACCCAGGAATCGAACCCAGGTTTCCTTCATTGCAGGCAGATTCTTTACCGTCTGAGCTTCCCAGGAAGCCCAGAATACTGGAGTGGGTAGCCTTTCCCTTCTCCAGGGGATCTTCTGTCCAGGGATCGAACCCAGGTCTCTTACATTACAGGTGGATTCTTTACCAGCTAAACTTCCAGCGAAACCCATATGTAAAGATACTTAAATGCAGTTTTTAAGTAGAAATTAACAATGCAATACCATTTTTAAACCAACTATATACTAAAAAAAAAGACCAGTAATACCAATATTGATGTAGATATGGGGAAACGGATCAGTGGAATTAAAATTGGAGAGTGCTTTTAGAGAGAAACTTAGCATAATCTGTTGGTTTTTAATTATAACCTTTTTGTTTTTTTAAAAGGCTTCAGTTGACCCTTGAACAGCACAGGGGTTAGGGACACCGACTGCCTGCGCAGTTGAAACTCTGCCTTAACTTTATAGTGGCCCTCTGTCCACAATTCCTCATCCATGGGTTCAACCAACCACAGATTGTGTGGTATATTAGTATTTACTATTGAGAAAAACCTGCATCTAAGTGGACCTAGTCAGTTCAAATCCATGTTGTTCAAGAGTCAACTGTATGAAAATTTAAATGATAGTCTATTTTGAGAAGGGTGTGCACTTTTTAAAAAATATAAAAACCTATTTGCTGTTTATAGGATTTGACAAAGCACAAGCAGAAACAATTGTATCAGCATTAACCACTTTATCAAATGTCAGCCTCGATACTATCTATAAGGAGATGGTCACTCAAGCTCAGCAGGTAATACATGCATTTTTATCACTTCTGACAGTCTCATTAAGATAATACTTTTCATAACCCACCTTCCATACACACCTGCATCTTCCTTATTCTCTCTAAAGGGACCAGAATCCTTCAGTAAAGTCAGTATCCAGAGAGAGTGAGGAGCTAGAATAGTCATCACAAAATGATGGTAACACACAGAATGAAAGTCTGTCAGATCTTTCATTGTGTAAGATAATTATTTGAGTCATGAGATGGTGGTAGCCGGCTAGTGAAACAAGTTTTTCCCCATAGAAAGCCCACCGCAGTAGAGGACCTGACCACTTGACTGCAGTTGTGTGTGTGTTCTGGCCAATTTTCACAAACTTGGAAAGCCGGAAGGGACCTACATGACAGGAAAGTGTGAGTCAGTCGTGTCTGACTCTGTGTGACCCCATGGACTGTACCCTCCAGGTTCCTCTGTCCGTGGGATTCTGCAGGCAAGAAAACTGGGCATCTTCCTGACCCAGAGATCAGACCCAGGTCTCCTGCGTTGCAGGCAGATTCTTGACCGTCTGAGACACCAGGGAAGCCCTGCATGGCTGGGAAGGACTTCATTTATCACCTGGCTCAGATGCTTTCCCGTTCTGTTGTTTTCCTCTATTTCTTTGCATTGATCATTTAGGAAGGCTATTTTATCTCTCCTTGCTATTCTTTATTATATTAATACAGAATAAGTATTCTGTAATAAAATGTTTGTTAAAGATTAAAACAAAAACTATAGTTAATGCCTTAGAACTGCTTCATAATCATATTTTGGGGGAACAATACTGACAACCCCTTGAAGCCACTTCTATATGACTTCAGGTAATTCTCATTAATATTTCTTTTTTTGTTTATTTATTTATTTATTTATTTAGCTGTGTCAAGTCTTAGTTGCAGTGCACAGGCTCAGTAGTTGTGGCACATGGGTTTAGCTGCCCGAAGGCATTCGAGATCTTAGTTCCCTGACCAGGGATCGAACCCACGTCCCCCCACACTGCAGGGCAGATTCTCAACCACTGGACTACCGGGGAAGTGCCCCTCATTAATATTTCAAGCAGAACTGCATAAAAGATGACACTTAAGGATGGTATTACAGTCAGGGATGTCAACTCTACATAATAAAATATACTTTTAATTTTATATAGGAATAATATTTAAAGCAAAACTTCCTGCACATCAGAACATTCATTGGAGTCACACTGTCCTGCTTCAGCCGTTAGGTCCCTGTCTTATTACATTTATTGAGTGCTGTGCTCCAAATATCACTGTGAACGTTTTACGTGCATTATCTCATTTAATCCTGAAAACAGTGCTATAAGGTATAGGTAGTTATTTCCATTACACCAAAGAGGAGTTCAGAGAAGTTATTAATAAATAACCTGCCCAGAGTCTCAGAGTAAATGGCAGTGTTTGGATTCAAACCCAGGCAGTCTGACTCCAGAACTCACATTTTTAACTTCCACTCTCTGTGACTGTGCCATCTGAGGGTTGTTTTGGAGAAGATGTGTGCATTCCAGACCCTTGGACGAGTCATTTCTTAGTTATGTATCTGGAACTGTTATAGCCGCTGTTTTCTAAAAGTCAAGTCAGTTTTGAAATAGTCTTTCTCCCTAAATTGGTCAGCAGAGGACTGATAACCCCAACAGTGCACCCCTGGTCACAAACTATGACAGAAATGGGAGTTCCACTAGTGATCTTGTTCTTGTTTGGGTTTTTTTGTTTTGTTTATGAACCATGTTATAGAGGTTCTTCAAGGTTATACTCTCATCTGCTTTTTGATAAAGAGGGATAAAAGATGAATCAGCAAACTACATGAGTTTGAGAAGTTTTAGTGGTAAAAGTTATATTTTCTTTGTAAGCCTGCTTTAAATCATTTCTACAGGGGCTTCCCTGGTGGTTCAGTGGTTAGGACTCTCTGCTTCCACTGAAGGGGGCACAGGTTCGATCCCTGGTTGGGGAACTAAGATATCACATGTTGCACAGCCAAAAATTAATCATTTCTACAAAAATATCCCTCACTAGCAAAGCAAAAGTTTATAAATCTATCAGATAGGGCCCACTTTTCCTTTCACTAATTCTTTATATTGCCAAATATAGGAAAGATACTCAGGAATTTAAACAAAACTAATTATGCTGACAAGGGCTAATTATTTAAACCATACTTCTACCTATTTTATTACCTGACTTCTAAGTCTTATCTAGTATCCTAGAAATTTCCAATGGTAAAAAATCCTTCAAAGTTAAAGCAATGAAAGATAAGAGCTTTCCCATGTAGATATTTTTTAAATAAGATTATTTGTTGAAGAACTCTTAGAGGTTAAGTAAGCAATTTATTGGGACTCTTTCATTGAAAAGACCTAGACATTAGTTTCTCTTCACTGGGAAATCCTTTTCCTCCTTGAATCTCCTGCTTTTCATTTTGATATCTCAGATATATAGGTTTCATATGCTTAAATTTTTTTTACTTAGCCAAGCAACATTATCCCTTGTAGAAAGATAATTTTGTGTGTGTGTGTGTGTAACACAGTTTTATTAAAGTATAAAAAGGGACTGAGAAAGCGTCTGACACAGACATCAGAAGGGGGACAGCGAGCACCCCACTACAGTTTTTAAGTTTCATGAAGTTCCATGTAAGGGGATGGTATTATATAGATCACTAGATGACTTTAATTTTGCTTTTCAGGAAATAACAGTACAACAGCTAATGGCTCATTTGGACTCCATCAGAAAAGACATGGTCATCCTAGAGAAAAGTGAATTTGCAAATCTGCGAGCAGAGAACCAGGTGATACAAGTCTCAATTTATTAATAATAAAATACTGATTTCACAAGTATTCTACTTGGTGAATAGGACCCAAAAACAGTTTCATGTGGTTATTTAAATAAAGTCTACGACATGTTTAAACATACCTAATCTTCCTATGTATAAGTCAGTGTTTTGCATGCTTAAGAGTTGTTTAAAAAAAATGAGAGTTGTATTTTATATGGGTCACATAAAGGAGGAAATCTTTGAGGTACATATTTTATAAAATTTCTAGTGTGGTTTAGAATAATGTTTTCAGAGCTGAGAGTAATGTGGCTTGGGGTGGGGGTGTGGTCTGTATTTTTGTCACTTAAGAGAAAAATGTTTCTGTAATTCAGTCAGAACTTTGTTATCCACTAGCCTAAAATATTAGAATGTCAGCCTACTTTTTTTTAAAGCAGACTACAGTAGGTCCCCCTTTATCTGCATTTTTGCATTCCACAGTTGTAGTTATGTGTAGTCAACACAATCTGAAAACATTACATAGAAAATTCCAGAAATAACTCATGTTTTAAATTGCATACTGTTCGGAGTAGCGGAATATCTTTCACCATCCTGCTCCATCCGCACAGGACAGGAATCATCTCTTTGTCCACAGTATTCACACTGTGTATGCTATGCACCAGTTAGTGTAAGAAAAAACATAGTATGCACATGGGCTTCAGTGCTAGTCGGGGTTTCAGGCATCCACTGGGGGTCCTGGAACATATTCCCATATGGACTGGGGGGACTACTATATTAAAACATAAATACATTTTCTAATGTCATGTTCATATTATTTTCTGAATAAGAGAAACTATTAGATTTTTTTTATTTATAATCAGTTTTTATATTAGAAATCCATAGATTGTCCAATTTTTGCTTTTGCAGCGTTTCAGATTTTTTTTGATAAATCATATGGGCTTTTGGTTTAACACCAATTGTGTGTGATCTTTCTTTATACCTAGAAAATGAAAATTGAATTAGAACAAGTTAAACAACAACTGATAGTAAGTGAAACTTTTTCCCCACTTCAGAATATGTAAATTTCAGACAGATATTCATGACAAGGTCACTTTTTAAATATTTTTATTTTCTTTTAAAGAATGAAACTAGTCGAATCAGAGCAGATAACAAATTGGATATCAACCTAGAAAGGAGCAGAGTAACAGATATGGTAATGTGTTTTTAAATGTACTTTTTTGGTCACTTATTCCTTTAAAAAATTCCAATTCCTTTTATTTTTTTTTTTTCTCTAACCTGCTGATAATTCATATCCTTTAGTTTACAGATCAAGAAAAGAAACTTATGGAAGCAACCACAGAATTTACCAGAAATGTAAGCTACTGGGTAACAGTTCCTCTGTTTTCGTATAGCTGTCATGCCTTATGTAGCTACCCTCACGGGTATCACTTTGTAAGTCTGGACTTGAACAGGCTGGCCCTGTGCAGCCCGTCATTTCCTCATAACTACTACAGGTAACCAGTACTTTGGGGGAAGCTGCCGCTAGGTGGGTGGTAGTACTGGAGCTGTGACTTCTGAGGCAGAATCAAGCTTTGCAGGTAGCACCTGTTTTTCAACTATTTTTATATGGAAGATAATTATTTTTCAAAAAGACAGGGAGTCACAGTATTTAAGTGCCTAGATTCAAGTAGTTATCTTACATATTTTTTAAGTAATAGCAAATATTTATTGAGTACTTATTACATGTTAGATCCTACTTCACTTACTTTCTATTTTCTAGTTACTGTGTCAGCCTCTGGGCGAGGCAGGCGCTCCTACTCCCATTTTACCAGTTGGGAAAGTGAGGCTTTGGGAGCTAAAGGTCACACAGCCAATAAGTGGTAGAGCCAGGACGCGAACATGGATTCTGACTCCATGCTCATATGTACTGTTTGTCTCTCAGTAATCCTAAGTTGTAATCATTACTTAATCTCTATGGCTGAATAACACCTAACTCTCAGCCTAGTCCTTTCCTTTTTTAAAAGTTAAAAGCCACTTGGTCTACATTCCAACATGAGAGACATCATTCTTGATTATACTTCAGTAGAACAGGTACCATTTGCCTTTCCAAGTAGCCTGTTCCCTTCTCTAACTTCTCGGTCAGATAAAGGAGATGAAATCAAATTCTCTCACTGCTAATTTCTGAGCTCTAAGTATCAGCTTCTTTTCCTACCCTTCAGCCCGTGTGCACGAAACATTCAGTGTTAACTCAACAAGCACATCTGCCATGGTCTTTAATATTGGTGTCAGTTTATCATAATCCTGGTTGGTTTTTCCTTTTGTAAAAGATATTTAACGTTTTAACTATGATATCTTAAGACTTTATACCCATAAAGTGATAGTTCTGTGACTGACATTTTTGCTTCTTAGTTTATCCTTGTATATTTAGGTCTCAAGTACAGGCATACCTCAGAGACACTCCAAATCCAGTTCCAGACACAGCAATAAAGCAAATATTGAAATAAAGTGAGTCACAGCAATTTTTCAGTTTCCCAGTTCTTATAAAATTTACATTTACACTATACTGTAGTTTATTAAGTATGCAATAATAGCATTATGTCTCAATAAACAATATCCATACCTTAATTAAAAAATAAGAATCGCTAAAAAGATGTTAACCAGTTATCTTCTGAGCCATTACTGAGTAGTAATCTTTTTGTAACAATAACATCAAAAGTTACTGATCACAAATCACAATAATAAATATAGTAATAACAAAAATGTTTGAAGTATTGTGAGAATTACCAAAATGTGACACAGAGACATGAACTGAGCAAATGCTTATGGAAAAATAGTGCTGATAAATCTGCCTGACTCAAAGTTGCCACAAACCTTCCATTTGTTTTTTTAAAAAAATGCAAAATTTGCAAAATGCAGTAAAATGAGGTATGCCTGTAACTTACCTGTGAGGTTTTTAGTGGAATGCGCCCAGAATGTGATAATCCTAGTAGTCTCCAAATATCAAAGTAGAAGGAATAGTTTTTGTCAGTTTATAATGTTCATGTAATTTTTATATCACTGTTTTTTTTTTAAGCTATGTTTCCCCACTTAAAAGTTTTGTAACACAAAATTAGCCCCTAAATGAGGGTTTCTAAAGTAAACATTTCTGTCCATGATACATAGAGACAAAATCTAATTATCTTATTCTTAATTACTACAGGATACCAAAACCAGAGGTATTATTTCAGAGACTGGTAACAAAATTGACACTGAAATTGCTTCTTTAAAAACTCTGATGGAGTCCAATAAGCTTGAGACAATTCGTTATCTTGCAGGTAAGACTGTGTTGTCAGAGAAAGGAATTACTATCATTTGATTTTCAGACCCATTAGCTCCTACCTCCCAAGGTAGTAGCATGTGACACAAAAGGAGGGGCTGTAACAGTTACTGTTTGGTCCCCTGCAGTGCTTGGAAAATGTAAATTTAATAGGCCACTCTGCATCCTCTGAAAAGGAAAAAGTGTACGGTAGTCAAAGACACACATAAACACCCATACAAAATGATGCAAAGATTAAACTAGGTAGTCCACAATTAGGTACAGATCACCAAAACAGATATAGGCTATTAAAAACCACAGCAAACAAAGGGGTAGAAATTACTTCTATTCTTGAATCCAAATGAGGAAGCAGGGATACTGCCCAGAATTAGTCTGTCACATACTGAGTTCGTCAAGAACCTTGTGACCTGACTAATTTATAGAGCCCCAAGGAGTTAGGAAGAATGCCCTCGAATAGTATTTTCTTTTATAAAAAAGTAATATATTTTCATCCTAAATTGTTTGTATAAGTGAAAAGCAATATAGTAAAAATGAAAGCCTTCTCCCTCCCCATATGTATTTACTATTGGTAGTATATATCTTTCCTAGGCTTTTCCTTCTGTATGTGAACATTATAGATTTTTAAAACAGTAATTAGATGATACTCTACAAGCTACAACTTTTAAAAATTTAACCAAATGTCTTGAACATCTTTCCATATGAATACATAGATATCTTTTTACTAGAAATCATAGTATTCTATAATATGAAAATACCATAATTTATCTAAATATCTAATATCTTCTTACAGACATTCTGCTCTGAAGTTTTCATTATTAAAAAAAATATTGCACCAAATAGTCATATATATGTGTGTCAATAAATACACATACACACATATACATCCTTGTGCCTTCATACTAGAATTTCTATATAATTAATTGCTTATGCACATCTAAAAACTGGGATCAAAAAGATACACACATTTAGGATTTTGTGTTGTTATTGTCCAAAATAAAATAGCTGCTTTATAGCATCAGTGGTTTTTCTGGGCAGGCACTCATCATGTTGGAGCAACAGTAGGAGTAGAGATGACCCCAGCCCCCTACTGATGCTCACCTCCACACCCCCTTCTTCTCTTCAACTTGAATGACTTAATTTCTGCCTTTTCCAAATATTGGGCTTCTGCTAAAGATCCATTTGAAAAAAAGGATTGTAAGGCTAAAATGAGTTTCAAAAACCCTAGCAAAAGTCTCTGGAACCAGAGATCTGTTCAGTACTAATGCTCAGGGGAAGTTCCAGATCAGCCCAGTTTGGAGTGATCGTTCCCACTTTGAAAACAGATCTCAAAGCACCCCATTAGGAAGAGCTGCTGTTGCCCTCAGCGTCTCCTAGTGTATTTACCTACAGATGCAGTGTCATGGTTAGTCTGAGCATGCTGATGGTCTCCAGAAAGGTTTCCATTCATTAGTGGACATACACGAGGCAGACTAACAGACTTAGTGGCAGTGGGAAAAGAAATTACCAAGTCTGTTTAGAAAGTTAGATTTCCTGTGTTCCTTTCCTTTTTTCACTGAGGACTTAAACAACTGCTGGTTCTGAAGGCACTGCTCTTCTCTTTACGCGACAGCAACTACTTTAGAGTCAGGTGACACAGCCTTGGGTCCTGATTCCACCATTGCTCGCAGTATGGCTTTGAGCTTGTTGCTCATCTGTACGATGGGGATACTGTCACTAACTTCATGGGGTTTTAATCATGGCTAGATAAGGTAATACATGGAATTCTTCAGCACACTACCTGGAACATGGTAAATAGTAGCAGGATCAAATGAGAGAATGTGTAATTGACCAGTGACAACAAGACAAGAAATTCTTTAAGTGTTACTCTTTCTCCTCAAATGTCCAGCTTCCCACCATGACTTAGACCTAATCCCATTTCTTAAAATTAGGGAACTCTTGTCATTAACCAAGTGTTAGTAGTGTGATCAAATGGGATAATATATAATTAATTTACACATTAAAAATAGGATAGCTTTACTATAAATGGCTGTTTCTTATGTCTTTAATCATTGAAGTTTGCTCTTCATCTCAGAGTCTCTAAAGTCATGGCTGTTTAAACAAACTAAAAAACTAGGGAGTACAAAAGCCTCACCCAGATTCACCACCTTAAGGAGAATAGAAAGGTTTTCTATTTAGAGTGATGTAACACAGACAATAGGTGGTACATGAACTATTTAAAAAGTCTGATGCTTTTTCTGCCTTTTCTTCTACCTCACTGAGTTGTTTCTGAAGGGTTTTCATTAACAATTCATTTTTATAAATTTTTAATAATTATGAAATAATTTTTAATGTACTTTTAAGACAATTTGTCTTATGGATCATGTAGATGTCTGTTCTTCTAGCTTAATGACATAATTTTTTAATGTTGGCAAGAAAAGTTTTTCACTTAAAAATTATATCTGAAATTTATAATTATTTAAAGTAGTATTGTTAATGTAATATTAATGACTTGAAACACTGTTTATAGATTCTAACAGATTTTTAAATTACTGTCATCCTTATGTAAAATATAGGAAGCTTCTAAGAATTGGTATTAATCATGCCCTAATCGATATCCTGTATCGTTAGCTTAATTTTCTAGGGGATGAAAAACCGAAGGTAGAAGATTGGCTGGATTTCCTGATTTTTTTTTTTTTTTTTGCTTTAAATTGAAAATGACATTATTCTGTTTGTCTCTGCAGGATAATCTCAAATGCATGACCTATAACACAGATTCTTCTTTTCACAGCCTCAGTGTTTACTTGCCTGGCAATAGCATTGGGATTTTATCGACTCTGGAAATAACAGTGAAACTGCTGTAGTTATGCATGCTCCTACTCCTGCTGCTTTGACTGTTGGAACACTGCCTGGATGGATTTACTCTGAACATTGAAAGTTAGAGTAGGAACTGAAGACACGATTATTTAAAGTACATATAGACTAAAAGGAAATATTTTAGAATAGAAGGTATGTTTTGTCTTTTTCATGTATGTCTTTATTATGTTGAAAGAGGCCATTCAAAACTTGATAAGATTTGAGATAGGGCTTTTGTCTTTATGGTTTTGATAGCTCACAGAAACTGAACTAGAGTTTTCTTATGTTTACTTGAGCGACTGTAAATCATATAGGATTTCTTTTGTATCTGTTGCAAATCTGAAAACTATTCCCAAGCCCACATGCTTGTTACTGTATTCAAATTTGCTGATAGCTACTGCACAATTACCTTTTTATATAAAATATATACAATAACAAAGTTGTTTGGATTTTAAAAGCAACTTATCATATAGCTAGAGTTAGGTTTTTTTGGTAATGAACTAAAACAATAAATTTTAAAATAATGTGCCCTAGTTCAAGTATATGACACTCAGGATGAAATCTGTAGAGTTGTTAATTTCTAATTCACAAAATCCAATTTATCCCTGTTTCTTGGGAACCCATCTTAAATTTACTACCTAAAACAAATTTTTTTAAAATTCAGCACATGTCTATTGGCATGTAATCCCTACTCTCAAGAAAGTCATGGGGAATTTTATATTTTTGTTTTGACATTACTGGGTCTATTTTCTTTGATAATAGCATCTATTAATAGGATATATAGTTCAAGGAAAGTACAAAATACCATTTCATCTCAGACCTTCAGTTTTAGCCAGATCAAGAAGCCAAGGCCAAGAAGTGCTAAATATTTCAAGATTTCATAATGCCTTGGCAAAACTTTTAAGTTTGATGATCCATTAGTTACTCAAAATGACCTCCATCATTTGTTTAGTTATAAATAGGGAATCTAAATTATAGAGCAGTCAAAAGACCAGCCCATATATGGTCTAGTGAGTGAGAATCAGACACTTTCCAACTAAATTTGTTTCAAAGATCTAATGGCTGACTTGTTTGCAAATTAAAACTTTCTGTACTTATCTTGTATTCTGATTTAAAATATCTCAGAATTCACTTGCCTAGAAAAATTCTTAGCACATTATAAATAAATTTGTATGTAAATAAGATCATATAGGTTCCATTGTAATAAATTCTACAGTACATTTATTCACTCAATAAATAAGAATGCCTGCTATGGGCATGCTGGTCCCCACATGCAGAGCTGACCTGGCTTCCTTTCCACTGAACTGAGGATCTTAGTTGAAGATAGACAGTAAACAGGTAAATTATTCACTTACACAATGTAAAATACGCTAAATTTTAAGAAGGACTATGTCTTCCCTACATGTGAAGGACGCTCCGGTAGCATACACTGGAATCACTTCCTCAGCCGCCCTGCCACAGGTGCTCAGTGAGATTAAAGGTGAAGCAGGCCGGTGGCCCAGACACTTCTCCCCACTGCTGTCTGGGACCGGCCTTTCTACTCACAGCGCTCACTCCAGTCTGCTCCTGTGGGATAAGCCCTAGTGATGAGTTCAGGGCACACTCAGTAAGCCACCAGCGTGCAAGCCACTGGAGCTGCGGCCCTGGAGCCCACGAGTGGCCCAGAGGCCCTCAGGCGCGCGCACGCCCGCGGTTCTCGTCGGAAAGACCGCCAGAGCGTCCCCGCACCGCAGCGGGACGGCCAGCCGTCCTTGCGGCCTGCAGCCCCGCCTCCCCAGGCGCACAAGCGGTTGTGGCCGGACCGCTCCGGACCCGCGGGGCGGTCCCTGCGCAACCAGGCTGAGTCCCTCCTCGGGTCTCACCCGCACCCAGGGGCCGCGCACGCCAGCAGGTACGCGTCTCGGGCTGGAAGTGTGGGGAGGCGGCCAGGACCTTCCGTGGTGGTCCGTCTGTGCCCTTCAGCGCCGTGGGCCAACTCCACCCCCACCCCCCCCACCCCCCCCCCCCGCCAATCCGCCGGCCCCACAGGAGGCTCCTGCCTAGGGAGCGTTCTTCCACAGCACGCGCCCAGACGTGCAGGTCCCGTCCCAATTCCTCTTCTCCCTTTCCCTTCATCCTCCCAGTTACGTAGGGATTGGAGCTTCGGTTGTGAGAGATCTGCAAGCCTTTGTAGGTATTCTGTGAGAACTGTCCCACATGTCGATGCCTTTTTTGATGTGTTTGTGAGAGGAAGCGCGCGCTCCATGATCCTGTCCTTCACGCCATTGTGAACTGAGTCCCAGTGTTTTCTCAGAGTAAAGGAAACAGTGAGGCGGTGGGAACGGCTATGCGCAGACACTGAGGTTAGTGGCTGGCATTCTGTAGAAGAGCCACATTGACTATACAACACGAGAGAGGGATGGGGTGGGGAGGGAGGCGGGATCCGGATGGGGAACACATGTAAATCCATGGCTGATTCATGTCAATGTATGGCAAAAACCACTACAATATTGTAATTAGCCTCCAACTAATAAAAATAAATGGGAAAAAAAAATATGCTAAATAATATATCTCACTCACCTGTTTGTCATAGCAGTCCTCTTAGGCAGGTGGTTATCCTCATTTTACAGCTAAAGCAACAAGCTAAGTGAAATTAAGGTCACACAGTGGGTAAGTCACACAGATTTTAACTCCACAGTTTATACTCTTAATAACAAGAGTAATCTCCAAGTTGAGTTCTCTGATGAGTCACTAGTTTTTTTACTTGCATTTTTCTAGTACTTAGCAACTCTAGCCAGGCTCTTCTCTTGTGTCCAGGTTCATTCCTGGCGGTGTCCAGTGACTCAGTACCTTACCACATTGCAGAAGAAGAAAGGGATAAGATGTGGGAAAACCCTTTCCCTTTAGGGACATGACCATAAGTTTATACATGGCATTTCTGCTCACACTCTTCTTGGCCACAACTTGGCATCTTAGCTGCAAAGGAAACTGAGAAGTCAGCCCTTAGCCTGAGTAGCCACAATTCCAGGTAAATCCTAATACTTTGGAAAAAGAAGAGAAATTGGGAGACAACCAGGGACCCTCTGCCACAAGGGTGTGTGCTTCTATTAAAACGCTCTCCTGGTATTTCCTGCCTCACTGGTACCGACGGAGATACGACCCCGAGAAAACTGGGACAAGTACAACAAACGGTGAGAAAACTGAGCGAATCGAAGACAGTGTTCCTGGGCGGGACCACCTTACAGTTACCAGGCTTGAAGGAAAAAGTAAGGCTGCGTGACGTCCCTGAAGGGGAGGGGAATGCTGGACTTGGGAATTCCGGCTGTGGTAAAGAACAATGCAGACTCCGAAATTTTCCTCCTAAGGTTAGAACCCTAGCTCCATGTTGCTGTGTGACTCTAGGCGAATTCCTTAACCTGCATGTATCAAGTACTACACCTCCATCATATAAGCTGTGGTGGGAATTAAGCAGTAATCAGATTGAAAGCCTACTGCACAATAATGACTGTAAGGGTTACATAAAGGATAGGTAGGCCATTTTTTAACACTTGCTTATAGCCCTTGACAAGCCTAAACACCTCTTAGCAAGCAAACGCACTCATGTCAGGGCATTCAAGCCCTGGTGATACTGGGCCAAAATGGCCTTGAGCACCATGTACAGTGCCTGCCAGGGCTGAGAGGCTGGGCAGCCTGGGGTGTGCAGAGCCTGCTGCCAGCGAAGCAAGGGCTTGATCACCGGACATGATTATCATCCTGTCCAATCAACCTTGTCTATGATTCCTTTCTTATAAAGCCTGCAAAACAGAACAATGGCTGAATTCTGAAGCAGATTATTTAGATGTGTATTTTTAGCAAACACTCATTATGTATTTTTTCTTTTTACAAGAGCTGATTTTCATTTTATGTAAACTTCCATGGAGATATTTGGTTGTTACTATAAAGTCGTCCTTTTCTAAAACTTACTAGTCTTGTAACTTCCCTGGTGGTCCAGTGGCTAAAACTCCAAACGCCCAATGCAGGAGGCCCAGGTTTGATCCCTGGTCAGGGAACTAGATCCCACATGCTGCAACTAAGACCTGGCACAGTCCAATAAGCAAACATTTAAAAAACAAAACTTTACTAGTCTTTTTCTCCCAAGTTCAGATGCTCTTTAACAGTCAAGTCATGTGACATACATATGACTAAAGAAGCACATCAAAGATGCTCAACGTCACTAATTATTACAGAAATTAAAATCAGAGCTACTATGAAGTACCACCGCTCACTGGTCAGAATGATAATCATTAAGAAAATCTACAGGACTTCCCTGGTGATCCAGTGGTTAAGAATCTGCCTGTCAATGCAGGAGACATGGGTTCAATCCCCGGTTTGGGAAGATCCTGCAAGTCACAGGGCAATGAAGCCTGTGAGCCACAACTACTGAAGCCTGAGCGCCCTAGAGCCCATGCTCCACAACAGGCAGCCTGCGCGCCACGACAACAGAGCAGCCCCTGCTCACTGCAACTAGAGAAAGCCCACACACATCGAAGAAGGCCCAGAGTAGCCAAAAATAAATACATATTTTAAAACCTACACATAAATGCTTGATAGATTCTGGAGAAAAGGGAACTGTCCTACACTGCTGGTGGGAATGTAAATTGGTGCAGCCACTACGGAAAGCAGTATGGAGGTTCCTCAAAAAACTACAAATAGAGTTGCCATATGATCCAGCAACCCCACTCCTGGGCATATAGGCAAACAAAACTATAATTCAAAAACGTACATGCACCTCTGTTCACAGCAATACTATTCACAATAGCCAAGATGCGGAAACAAGTGTCTATCAGCAAATGAATGGCTACACTACTCTGCTATAAAAAAAGAATGAAATAGTGAGTGCCATTTGCAGCAACATGGATGAACCTAGAAATTATACTAAATGAAGCATATTAGAGACAAACATTACATCACTTATATGTGGGATCTAAAAATATGGCACAAATGAACTTAACTATGAAGCAGGTACAGACTCACCAATATAGAATAAACTTGTGGCTGCCAAGGGGAGGACAGGTGGGAGAGGGATGGATTGGGAGTTTGGGACGGCAGATGCAGACTATTATATATATTGACAGGAGGGGTAGACAACAATGTACTACTGTGTACCACAGGAAACTATATTCAATATCCTGTAATAAGCCATAGTGGGAAAGAATATGAAAAAGAATGTGTGTATATTTATGTATAACTGAACCACTTTGTTGTACAGAAGAAATTAACACTGTATCAACTATACCTCAGTAAAATAAGTTATTTTTAAAAAGTCATTTGAAAAGTTGGGGGAAAAAAAGCTATGCCTACATTGGTAAAATAGTACTCTCTAGAAAGTAAAAGAAATATAATTTATTATGAAGCCATAACAGAACTTTCAATAATCTTTAATATATATAACTAAACCTTTTTATTATTACATTAAATTTTAAAGTTTATGTGAATACTGGAAAAATTAATAATTCACAGTTTTGGCTTGCCCACATAAATATAAAAAGTGTATTGGGAGGGGAAATACAACTGAGTCCATGTAATTTTAATCCCTTTGACATCATGTAACATATTTCTGCCTTCAGAATTGGAATAACTGTGCATCAGAGTAATTCTGAGATGAATTTATATAGACTTACACTTATATCTATTTAAAAATAGAAAAAATCAAGTTTATTTAAAGCTATCTACTGATTAGTACCTTTTCACAAAAACTCCCCCAGAAGACACCTTCTTCTTCACTCGCCTCTTCTCTTTGCTTAACTCACAGGAAATGTCATCTTCCTACAAAGGAAAAGATTGCCGAATTAGATGTCTTAGGATTTCTATGCTAGACACATTTTCATCTTTCTACATTATCTGTTTCAAAAAAAACCATGCTAATAATTTTCAACTCTAGTATACATCTCTTTTAGAATTTTGTGTAAGTAAGTTCTTACATCTGAGGCACCAGGGCATCATACTGCACTGACTCATCAGCCTGGGAGGCACCTTGAGAAATCAGCCAGCCCTGCCTTCCCCTCACACACCCCCAGTACAGAACACCTTGTCATTCCTGCTTCTCTCTGACCAACACTTCACAGCGTATCACTACAGGAAATAACAAAGCGTTAACACGCCGCCCTCTGGACTCAGCAAGTCCCACTGGGCTGCGAGCCCCACTCCAGGGTCTGGCCCGCCCTCCCCTGCTCACACAGCGCCCCCAGCTGCTCAGCCCGGGTCCTGCTTTACCCTGTCGCGCACTATTTCTGAATACGTCTCATCCATCATGGTATTCTCAGTATCTAGCACAGAAGACTCACTTCATAAAGGCTCTGGGGAGCAGGAAGAGAAGACTAGAAACATCAGATACTCATATATGTCAGTCATCTTTGGATAATTCTTCCAGTCAAAAATGCTCTGTCCGGTTGAGCAGGACAGATCTGAATGCAGGCGTTTCAGGAACATCACAAGGCGCATGTCTATCAGGAGAGCCAATGACTACAGGTGGCAGTCCCCAAGGTGTTCCCACCTACACCTCTGCTAATGAGGTCAGTCACTTAACTCATACGAGCATGTGAGCACAGAAGGAAACTGCTGTGATTGCAGCACCACCCAGGGAAACAAAATCACACATCTGTTCCTCCCCCTCAGCTGCAAACTTGAGCGACGAATAGATGGAGAATCTGCTAGCCAGCCCTTATAGTGGCCAGGCACTGGTGGGCACAGAGTAATACAGCCCCTTCTCTTGAAAAAGCTTGCCAACCAGTCTGAAGACCAAGAACAACAAACCTTTTAGTGGGGTTTAGCAGATGGTGCCACTGTATTTCATACGTTACACATACAACAAGGTGAAGCAGCTTGTATTACCAACATTTTAGAGATACAGACAGAAGTCCAAGATGTTAACCAACTTTCCCCAAGGTCACAAAACTAAGTCAATGGCAGGATTTTAATCCAAATTTTGTCTGACACCTAAGATCATGCTATAACCATTCTTCAATTCTTTCAGCAAAAACTTTGCTCATTCACTTCCTACAGCTGTACTGTGTACTGTATATACGATGCTGCAGGTATGCAAAAAGGCATGAGAGCTGGTTCCCACTCAGGAGTCTGTCTGGTGGAGGGGCAGATGAAAATAGGTGCTCACTTGACCCCAAGGTTTCAGGAGGACCTCAAGATCATCAGGGGATGAATGCAAAGATGTACATGAGAGAAAAATACTGAGGTAGGGCAGGAGTTTAACCTCATCCAACTAAGACAGAATCAGAGAAAGGAAACAAAAAATGCAGGGAGCACAGGAAGCTACTTGTCAGAGACAGCCAATTTTCTAGTGCTTAATAGCATTACCAGACTTTTGCTAACAGTAACATTTATTTCCCTTTTTCATATATGTTAACTCCTAAAGGAGGTTTTTAACAATCCCAAATATTCTAGAAAGAGTGATTATATATCAAAGCCTCAACTAACATCAAATAGGTAACTTGTTCTATCAAACCAAGCCTTACCATAAACTAGTTCAAAAGAAAACAGGTGCTTGGCACCCAACAGGCCTCCAGTAAGTCTTCACTGAAAGTTCCAAATTCCAAATGTTTTTGCATTTGGGGAACATTCTTCACCAAGATTACTCATTTCCTCATCATAAATTATAGCCAGAAACATTTTTCTCCCTAATATGTGTTTTCTCCCAAACTTGGGGAAAAATAACTGCAATACTGAGAGATTAAAAACAAATCATGATGCTTAGGCACCAAAAGCAATTCTAAGTGTAAATTAGCCAACAACCCCTGTATGAAAATGTATGTATTCTAAATATTAACCAGTTTCCATCTGAAAGAATATAAAGGTTTGTTAAAGGGACTAACAACACTGCACATGAAACTGGGGACAAAGGTATATGGGATTCTTGTTTTTTTTGGGGGGGGGATTCTTGTTTTTACAAAGTTCCATGCAACCTAAGAAGTTCTGGGAAGCATATACAACTAAAACAAAATGATTCTTGATTATGAGAAAGGTCTTAGTAAGACTGTCAAAACAGTATAACCAATACAAAGAGAAATCACAAACTTCTAGGACTTCCTCACAGTAACAGCTCAGCATGGATAAACTCACTTAAGCTCTCAGATTGTTCCAAGGACCATTAACGGGCTCACAGACTAGGATGTCAGGACAGAGAAAAGCCCAGCAGAGAACATATCAAAGTCCAACCATGTTCCACAGCCTTGTAGGTAGAAAACAAGAGAAATTTAAACCCAGAAGTAATCATGGAACGTTACCAGTTCCACATTGGCCATTCTAGATTAGCAAGCATGGCCCAAAGCTTTGCACCAATGACCTCCCAAATGACACTGGTTTTAGCTGGAAGCATGAGGAGTTCAGTGCTATATCAATCTGTGGACAGACATCTCTCCCAAAGCTATTAGAGTTCCCATCTAGTTTAAGTTTTTTAAGTAAACACTTTTATATAAGTACAATACACATATTAAAAATGTTAGTTGCTCAGTCATGTCCAACTGTTTGCAACCCCATAGACTGTAGCCTGCCAGGTTCCTTTGTCCAAAGAATTTTCCAAGCAAGAACACCTGAGTGGGTTGCCATGCCCTTCTCCAGGGGATCTTCCTGGCCCAGGGATTGAATCCAGGACTCCTGCATTGCAGGCAGACTCTTTACCATCTGAGTCATCAAGGAAGCCACATATCAAAGAGCACCCCAACGAGTGTGCAGTGTGATGAACTTTACAAATGAAAACAATGAACAAAGGCTTGGGGGTGGGAAAGTGTTGGGCAAGTTCAGAAAAAGGTAGGCTGCATGTAATAGAATAGAAAACAATAAGCTGGTGAGGTGGGTTAATATAAGCTAAGATAGTATATGAGAAAGCACTATAAAAAGTTATTATCAAAACCAGTTATTATAAAGAAACGATTTAAGTGCATTACATCAAACTAGCCTAAGAAATTTTTTTCTGGCTAAAAATTATACTATTGCAGATTCTTTTATAGATTATTTTACAAAATCTTAAGATGGAGACCCAATCATGGGTCTCTTATCAGCAGGTGACAGGAGAAAGATTTAGTGAGAGCTTCTTGAAGCCTCTATAAAAGTAAGCACAGAATCAAAAGTTCATTTTATTTAGACTTTATGTGTTTAGACTCCAAAATAAACTAATTCCTTCTACTCTCAGATGCATAGGGCTCTACACATTCATTTATCCACTATGTTTACACAACTCAAATGTAGAAAATGGAAAGAAAGAAAGGAAAAAAAGAGGAATGGATATGAGGAAGAGAGAATGTAATACTATGAATACTGGAGACAGAAGATACCTCAGGATTTTCACACAGTATTTCATCTAACATCAATACCCCACGGGGTAGGTGTTATCCCCATTTTACAGATGAGAAAATTGAGACCCAGAAACTTTTGCAGAACAGAAAATAAGCAACTTCCATGAGAGGTGAGTGACATTTGCTCATTTACAAAAACTGGTGGAACCTAAAGGACCACAAAACCCAATGGGCCTGGAGCACAGAACCCCAAGTCAGCACTCCTGAGAGCTACACATCGCTGGTACAGAGCAAGGTCTTAGGGGGAGGTGCTCCAGAGCGTGATGTCAGACTTACCCTGGGAACACACGTTTCTGGGCAAGAAAAGAGGAATCATAAACAGTTAAAGCCCCAAAAACTTCCTAGGGCTTGACCATCAATTTGGATTGACTCAAAAGGTGTGCAGCAAAAGATACAGGCGGACAGGTGGCGACCTGGAGTGTGGTAGTTTACAAAAGGTGTGTGTCCAGAAGACAATGCAGGACTGCCCCAGCCAGCCTCTCCATACTAAAGTGTCTCCAGGGGCTAAACATGAGATCAGATGATAATGGCAAAAGAAGAGAATGGATTGATTATGATGACTAATTATATCCCCTGGAAAATTAAGCACAGATGAGATACCAAAACCCACAGAAAATGTTTGAATTTGCATATAGAAATACACACATGTAAAAGAAAAAAAAAAATACACACATGTGTTTGCAGGTGAACAAAATGTTGTCTAATATGAGACCAAACCACAGCAGCTTCTTCAGGAGAATCAAACTCAAAATGGGAAGGAGCATCTGCCCTGCTTTTAACATTTTAGAGCAAGGACATATATTATTTTAATATTTTTTAAAGTGGTTATTAAAGTCCTCATGGGTGAGTTGATTTTGTTCCAGATCTATACCACCTCAAATATGATTTATAATAAAAACTTCCTGGCTTCTTTTTATTTTGTACAAATTAATAATTAATCTCTTCAATATATGTGTGTGTATACACACACACATATATATTCCTTTCATTCTTAGAATACTCTAGAAATTATAAATTATATACTCTAGAAATTATAAATTATCTCCAATTTATACCTAAGGTACAGAAAGGTTAAATGACTTGTCCAAACCAAAAAATGGTTGTAGCTGGAATTCAAATCCAAATAGCACCATCCAAAGCTTGTACTCTTAGCTACTCTTATATACTATCTCTTGAGAAACATAAACATGTTAAGAAGGATACCAACCACAGCCACAAAGTTGGGGACCTGAGTTTTTTCCAGCATCTCCTTGAGTTGATCCACCTCCACTCGATACTCATCCAGCTGACATTCTAACTTCTCTCTGCGTAATCGTTCATACTCCAGCTGGCCCTGCAGCTCTTTGATAGTCCTGTCAAAAAATTGTGTTTTCAATCAGTAACCAGTATCAACTAGCAATTATTTCTGGTGATAGTGAAAAGTATCCTTACATTATATTTAAGGCAAATAAATCATTTATTCAACAAATATGTATTAAAAGTCTACTGTGAGCTCACACTGATCTAGATCCTGGGAATAAACTAGTGAACAAAGTAGGCTCTATCTGCCCTCATGGGGCTTTCTTAGACAGTAAAGAAAATAAGAAAATATATGTACTTAAATATAAGTATGTTGGAAGGTAATAAATGCTTGGGAGGAAAAAAATAGAGCAAGACAGTCATAGAAGATGTTTTAGAGGAAGGGGTTAATATCTCATACACAGTGGCTAGGGAACGCCTTACTGAGAAGGGGGTTTGTAAGCAAATTCCAAAGGAAGTAAGAGAGATAATTAAGTGGACATCCAGGGAAAGAGCATCCCAGACAGAACAGCAAGTGCAAAGGTCCTGAGGCAGAGAAATACCTGGAGAACTAGAAGAAAACTGGAAGCCAGTGTGACTGGAGTAGAGTCCAAGAGGTAAAAGAAGCCAGAACAAGCAGGGTCGTACAGATGACAGGGAGGACCAGGCTTCACTCAGCGAAACAGGATGCCATTGGAGGATCTCAACAGAGACAGAGCAGGACTATAACAACAGATTTCCTCTCTTTGTGCAGCTTTCTTTCTAATTATGTAAAATTCACTTTGTGTGATTACACAAATATCAAGTAAACAATTCAATGAGTTTCTTTTCTTTTTTCGTGGCCAGGTCATGCAGCATGTGCCCCCTGCAGTGGAAGCACAAACTATTTAAGCACTGGACCACCAGGGAATTCCCTTCAATGAGTTTCCACTAATGTGTACACCTTTGCATCCACCATGACTACCAAGATACAAAATACTTCTGTACCTCAGAAAGTTCCTAACATTCTCCCCAGGCAATCCTCACTTTGCACAGGCAACCACACTTCTGAACACCTATCATGTTAGATTAGTTTTGTCTCTGCTCATAAACGAAGTTGTACATTATATACATCTGTGGGCCTGGCTTCTTTCAGTGAACAATAGGTGAGATTTATCTGCTTGGGTTTTTTTGTTTCCCCAATTATTTTTATTGGTTGGAGGCTAACTGCTTCACAGCACTGTAGTGGTTTTGCCGTGCACTGACATGAATCGGCCGTGGGTCTACGTGTGCTCCCCATCCTGAGCCCTCTGCCTGGGCTTTAACATGACTGACAGACCACAGGGTGTGCGGGTGGGAGAGAAAGGAGGAGGGCAAGGAGTTGGGAGACATATCAAAACAACATGAAAATAAACAAAAATAAACCCAGACAAGTGATGCTAGGACTTGAACCAGAGTTACTTTCTGCCTTATTATTGGGATGATGAGAGGACCAGAACTCCCAACACACCCTGAGTTGGATGTCAGGTCTCAAAGAGGGAAATCTAAGAATATACAATAGTAGCTTTAGTATGGAAGTGCGTGGGGTTGAGGCTGGGGATAGGAAAGAACAACATAACTATGGAAACCTAGAATTCAGAAAAGAGGAAAAGAAAATCAGCCCCAGGACTGATTCTGAGTTTCATCTAACTAATAACAAAATCAAAAGGACATCCCTCAACCAATACTTAGCTAAGTTTCCTTTACATTTACATCTAGTATCAGGAGTTTGTATCCAAAGAATAAATGTTTTAGGATGTACTCAACACAAAATAGGGAACAAACAATTGGATGGATCATGGAGAAAGCAAGGGAATTCCAGAAAAACATCTACTTCTGCTTCATTGATTACACTAATGCCTTTGACTGTGTGGATCACAACGACTGTGGAAAATTCTTAAAGAGATGGGAGTATCAGACCACCTTATCTGTCTCCTGAGAAACCTGTATGTGGGTCAAGAAGCAAGTCAGAATCAGACATGGAACAACTGACTGGTTCAAAACTGGGAAAGGAGTACGTCAAGGCTGTAGACTGTCACCCGGCTTATTTAATTTATATGCGGAGTACATCATCTGAGCTGGATAGGCACAAGCTGGAATCAAGATCACTAGGAGAAACACAACAACCTCAGATATGCAGATGATACCACTCTAATGGCAGAAAGTGAAGAGGAACTAAAGAGCCTCTTGATGAGGGTGAAAGGGGAGTGTGAAAAAGCTGGCTTAAAACTCAACATTATGGAAGAAATGGACAAATTATTAGAAAAGTATAACCTTCCAAAACTGAACCAGGAAGAAATAGAAAATCTGAACAGATTAATCACAAGCACAGAAATCGAAACTGTAATCAAAATCTTCCAACAAACAAAAGCCCAGGACCAGATGGCTTCACAGCTGAATTCTACCAAAAATTTAGAGAAGAGCTAACATCTATCTTACTCAAACTCTTCCAGGAAACTGCAGAGGAAGGCAAACTCCCAAACTCATTCGATGAGGCCACCATCACCCTAATTCCAAACCAGACAAAGATGCCACAGAAGAAAACTACAGGCCAATATCACACTGACGAACATAGATGGAAAAACCCTCAACAAAATTCAGGCAACCAGAATCCAACAACATATTTAAAAAAGCATACATCATGACCAAGTTGGCTTTATTCCAGGGATGCACAGATATTCACAAATCAATCAATGTGATACACCATATTAATAAATTGCAAGATAAGAAACCATATGATTATCTCAATAGATGCAGAGAAAGCCTTTGAAAAAATTCAACACCCATTTATGATAAAAAACAAACTCCAGAAAGCAGGCATAGAAGAAATACACCTCAACATAAAAAAAGCCATATACAACAAACCCCAGCAAACATTATCCTCAATGGTGAAAAATTGAAAGCATTTCCTCTAAAACCAGGAACAAGACAAGGGTGCCCACTCTCACCACTACTATTCAACATAGTTTTGGAAGTCCTAACCACAGCAATCAGAGAAGAAAAAGAAATACAAGGAATCCAGATTGGAAAAGAAGTAAAACTCCCACTGTTTGCAGATGACATAATCCTCTACATAGAAAAAACCCTAAAGATGCCACAAGAAAATTACTAGAGCTAATCAATGAATATAGTAAAGTTGTAGGATATAAAATTAATACACAGAAATCCCCTGCAATCCTATACACTAACAATGAAAAAATAGAAAGAGAAATTAAGGAAACAATCCCATTCACCATTGCCATGAAAAGAACAACATACTCAGAAATAAATTTACCTAAAGAAACAAAAGACCTATATATAGAAAACTATAAAACCCTGATGAAAGAAATCAAAGATGACACAAATAGATGGAGAAATATATCATGTTTGTGGACTGGAAGAATCAATATAGTGAAAATGGCTATACTACCCAAAACAATCTATAGATTCAATGCAACCCCTATCAAGCTACCAACGGTATTTTTCACAGAACTAGAACATATAATTTCACAATTTGTATGGAAACACAAAAAACCTCAACCAAAGCAATCTTGAGAAAGAAGAATGGAACTCAAGGAATCAACCTGCCTGACTTCAGCCTCTACTACAAAGCCACAGTCATCAAGACAGTATGGTACTGGCACAAAGACAGAAATATAGATAAATGGAACAAAATAGAAAGCCCAGAGATAAATCCATGCACCTATGGACACCTTATCTTTGACAAAGGAGGCAAAAATAAACAATGGAGAAAAGACAGTCTATTCATTAACAAGTGGTACTGGGAAAACTGGTCAACCACTTGTAAAAGAATGAAACTAGAACACTATCTAACACCATACACAAAAATAAACTCAAAATGGATTAAAGATCCAAATATAAGACCAGAAACTATAAAACTCTTAAGAGGAAAACATAGGCAAAATACTCTCCAACATAAATCACAGCAAGATCCTCTATGACCCACCTTCCAGAGTAATGGAGATAAAAACAAAAATAAACAAATGGGACCTAATTAAACTTAAAAGCTTATGTGCAATGAAGGAAACTATAAGCAAGGTGAAAACACAGCCCTCAGAATGGGAGAAAATAATAGCATCTGAAACAACTGACAAAGAATTAATCTCTAAAAGATACAAGCAGCTCATGCAGTTCAACACCAGGAAAACAAACAACCCAATCAAAAAGTGGGAAAAAGACCTAAACAAACATTTCTCCAAAGAAGACATACAGATGTCTAGCAAACACATAAAAAGATGTGTTTTCATCTTTTCATGTGAAATGCAAATCAAAACCACAATGAGATATCGCCTCACGCCAGCCAGAATGGCCATCATCAAAAAGTCTACAAACAATAAATGCTGGAGACGGTGCAGAGAAAAGGGAACTGTCTCATACTATCAGTGGGAATGCAAACAGGTACAGCCACTATGGAGAACAGTGTGGAGATTCCTTTAAAAACTGGGAATAGAACTGCCATACAACCCAGCAATCCCACTGCTGGGCATACACACCAAGGAAACCAGAATTGAAAGAGACACGTGTACCCCAGTGTTCATTGCAGCACTGTGCTGGGCATACACACCAAGGAAACCAGAATTGAAAGAGACACACATACCCCAATGTTCACTGCAGCACTGTTTACAATAACTAGGACACGGAAGCAAGCTAGATGTCCACTGGAAGATGAACGGATAAGGAAGTTGTGGTACCTATACACAATGGAATATTACTCAGCTATAAAAAGGAACACATCTGAGTCAGTTCTAATGAGGTGGATGAAACTGGAACCTGTTATACAGAGTGAAGTAAGTCAGAAAGAGAAACACCAATACTATATATTAATGCATATATGTGGAATTTTAAAAGATGGTAACAATAATCCTACATGCAAAGCAGCACAAGAGACACAGATGCAAAGAACAGACTTTTGGACTCTGTGGGAGAAGGCAAGGGTGGGGTGATTTGAGAGAATAGCCCTGAAACAATATATGACCATATGTAAAATAGATGACCACTGCAAGTTTGATGCATGAAGCAGGGCACTCAAAACTGCTGCTCTGAGACAACCCAGAGGGATGGGGTGGGGAAAAAGGTGGGAGAGGGGTTCAGGATGGGGATACACATGCACCCGTGGCTGATTCATGTCAATGTATTAGAAAAACCATCCCAATATTGTAAAGTAATTATTCTCCAATTATTCTCGCACAGTCGTATCCAACTCTGTGCAACTCTATGGACTATAGCCCACCAGGCTCCTCTGTCCAAGGGATTATTCAGGCAAGAATACTGGAGTGGGTTGCCATGCCCTCCCCCAGGGGATCTTCCTGACCCAGGGATCGAACCATGTCTGTTACATCTCCTGCATTGACAGATAGGTTCTTTACCCTAGCGCCACATGGAAAGCCCAATGTATGGGGAAAACTATCACAATATTGTAAAGCAGTTATTCTCCAATTAAACTAATTTAAAAAATCAACATTAAAAAAAGGAAGATCTCATCTGGTCTCATCACTTCATGGCAAACAGAAGGGGAAGAAAGTAGAAGCAGTGACAGATTTTATTTTGGGGGGCTCGAAAATCACTGTGGATGGTGACTGCAGCCATGAAATTAAAAGGTGCTTGCTCCTTAGAAGGAAAGCTATGACAAACCTAGGCAGTGTATTAAAAAGCAGAGATCACTTTGCCGACAAAGGTCCATATAATCAAAGCAATGGTTTCTCCAGTAGTCATATACAGATGTGAGTGCTGGACCATAAAGAAAGCTGAGCGCCAAAGAACTGATGCTTTCAAATTGTGGTGCTGGAGAAGACTATCAAGAGTCCCCCGGCCTGCAAGGATGGATCAAACTAGTCAATCCTAAAGGAAACCAACCCTGAATATTCATTGGAAGGACGGATGCTGGAGCTGAAGCTTCAACACTTTGGCCACCTGATACAAAGAGCTGATTCATTGAAAAAGACCCTGATGCTGGGAAAGGTTGAAGGCAAAAGGAGAAGGGGGCAACAGAGGATGAGATGGTTAGATAGCATCACCAACTCGATGGACATGAATTTGAGCAAACTCCGGGAGTTAACACAGGACAGAGGAGCCTGGCATGCTGCAGTCCGTGGGGTCACAAAGAGTCACACACGATTTAGTGACTGAACAACGATAACAAGACGACTATTAAAATTGTAGTGACCTTGGCTAATAGATTTGGAGTCAATAGATTCAGGCCAAATCCTGGCTCCACCCCTCACCCTTAGTCCTCCCTTTGTGACCTCATGCAAGTCACTTAGCCTGTAGTTAAATCTTGGTTTCCCAATCCACATAGTGAGAGAATAGCTCATGGAAGTATGAAGACTGCATGAAACAGTATATATGAGAGGCTTACCTAATGCCTAGCATACAGCAGTGCTCAGAAGTATCAACAGTACAAGTAGTATAGTAATCTGCCTCAGAAGTAAAGGGAACAAAATTTAAAGCTCATTATCTAGGAAATAATTGCCCCACTGTGAAGTACTTTTCTAGACTACAAGGGATCTAAGAAATTTTAGCTAAGTTCTTAGGCAGAGGCCAATACTAAAAACATTCGACATCTCAAAAGACTTTACAGAGGCAGTGGATAGCTACTTGTGTGATGTGATTTATGAAATACAAGGACATTCTGATTAAAAAAAATTTTTTTTTGTCTACCACAACTTTCAAATATCCATAGAAAGAGAGCACATTCATCCTATCAAAGACTTAGATGTTACTTTGAATAAATTACCAGATCTCTTACTGAGAGGATGCACAAGAAGATGAATGAAAGGGAAACAGGAGGTTCTAATGAAGAGGAAGAGAATCCAATGAAAGGAAAGGGCAGGGAAAGCAAAGAGCCCATGTGCTCTGCTCTTTAAAGACCTGCATTTGATAAAAGCAGCAGTCTCCCTCCTGCCTGCCTGCGCTCTCTGAGCCCTGTGGAAAGGACACAGACGAGCAGAGCAGCAGTGGGAGGAAGAAGCACTTGACACCCTCTATCGCAGCAGCTGTTCATCAACCAGAGCGGGGCCAGATGTGCCCAGAGCCGACCTTGGGTGCGGGAAGTGAAAGGTAAGGGGGCCCTTGCTGCCTCCAGGCTTGAGAGCATGTGGGGGGCACCACCATCCATGAACACAGGACTGGGTCACACACTTGTGAGCAGGAAGTCCAGTATGACAGGGATGGCTAGCGACTGTTGGCTGAAAATCTCAAAGTAGCTGTCTCAAATACAACAACTCCTCCTTATAAGGCTTTAGTTTTGCAAGATAGAAAGTTCTGGAGAACAGTGTGCGAAAATGTAAATGTACATGACATGACTGAATTCTACCTTAAAAATAGTTAAGGTGACACATTTTTTGTTATGCATATTTTACCACAATTTTTAAAGAATCTTAACACCTTCTCCATCTGAGAGTTTAAGAGGAAAACAGGTTGGAAACTCAAACCCTTTGGTGGGATGAAAAAACAAGTTGTTCAGCAACAAACCCTCACGTGGCATTTAGAAAGGTAAGTAAAAACAAATCACTAGCATTTTGAGGACATTACTTTTCAGATTCGAGCTGTTCTTTCTTCTGCTTCACATCTTCTTCTGTTATTCCTCCCAAGTGTTTATAGTTGCTCTCAGCAATTTCAAGGAGGTGTCTCAATTCTACAATTTTCTTATAAGCTCTCACTGCAAGACAGAGTTGAATAGCAACCTAGTTTAGACAGGTAACAGCCCACGTGCTCACAGGAGGCTGGCCCTGAAGCATATTCTTCCTCTAGAGCCGTGTCTGCAAGGTCAGAGGAAGTGAAGGGAGGGAGGGAGGGTGGTGTCTACATAGAAGGATAAACACCAGTAGCAGAGTACTAGGGTAAACAAACAGTGAAATACCTAAATGGGCGATTATTTTCCTGATGCTAGAGGATGTATCATTGTTATGGCTATTATTAATACCATGAACAGGGAAGGAGGGAGGCTGGCGAGCAGCATTTTAGGACTACCAATCACACATGATCTACTTATGTCAGATAATTAGAAAAACTGAAATATATTTGATGTATTTAAGATAAACCAGAACTAATCCAATTCCCAAATTTTGTCATTAGTCACTTGTAGTACCTTCAAAAGATGATACTGAGAAGGAAGTTTGCTGATAGCTGCTTTGAGCTATTCTCCAACTATTAAAACTAGGATCTTTCTATCCTTTGTGGTACTAGTTCTCAACCTGGGTTGATTTTCTCCTCCAAGGAGTATGTGGCAATATCTGGAGACCTTTTAACTTGCTGACCCTTGGAGGATGAAGGGAAACAGGCTATTGGCATGTAGAGGCTCAGTATGCTATTAAACATCTTAAAATACACATGAGAACCCCCTCAACAAATAAAGATCTGGCCCAAAATGTCCATAGTACAGAAGCTGAGAAATTCTGCCATACAACCAGTTAACAAATCACTTCCTCTGATTTATCTCTCAGTTGGTTAGAGCTGCAGGTTCGAAACTGCACACATCAGAATCAACTTGGGCACTTTTTTAAATGGTATGTTTGAGCCCCATATCAGTCCTACAAATTCAGGTCTTCATACCCTGTACAAGCTCCTCAGACAATGCAGATGCACAGACAGGTTTGGGATCCACCATAACCACCAGCAAGCAAATAGAGGGGATTTTTTTTTTTAATGTTACATAAGATTGAAAGAATTGTGACTGTTTATCTAATCTTTAATATTTGAAGGCTATGTTTTGAAAAAGCTGTTCTATGGGATTGTAAGAGCTAGGACTAATCAGGATTAGCTCCAGGAAGACAGATCTTAACAAAGGTGAAACTTGAAATAAAAGCGGTAAGAGTTATTGTGCATTTGTGGAGTGCCTATGATGGGCAGGACACTGCGCTAAGTGCCTTGTACACTTTAATCCTCACAAGAACCCTGTCAAAAGGTAGAAATGGGCCATCTGGGCAACAGTGTCTTCACTGAAAGTAACTGGATGCTGGATGATGTGACAGGAGTGTTGAGCCAGAAGCCAAACCTCAAATGGTTCCAGGGTTCTATGATGCCACGACCCTAAACCTAACTCACTAAAGAATGCTCTCAACTGAAACTCAGTTCCAAGAACTGTGGGATGATAAGAAATCCAACCAGTCCCCTATAGGTGCTCCTGCAAAACCTAATGTTCCAAGAAGAGATTGGCTAGTCCTTTGGATTTTATTCTGGAATAAAATTAAATAAGGATAAGAAAACAGCACATACAAACCCTCACTAGCTGCAAACACCCGATTGGGCACCAGCAGAGTCTCACTGTGTGACAAGGGTGTAAGAGGATGTTTACATCAAACACACCACAGTAAGGACCTGTTCTGGTTTCATTCATGGTCTTTCCCAAAGCATCATTTAAAAATTTTGTGATTCACTGACAATGATACTTCACAAATATCTCCTGCTCAAATCATTTCAGAAGACAATGAAATTCTACAAAGCACCTGTTCATTTTTGGCAATTCTAATAAGTCCTTCCTTGCTAATTCTCAGTACAATCAACAAAAAGAAATCTAAGCACAAACAAAATAAAAAATAGATATAGTGGATTTCATCAAAATGAAAAGCATGTGCACTGCAAAGGACATCATCAAGAAAAAAGACAACCCACAGAACAGGAGAAAACATCTGCAAATCATGTGTATGACACGGGACTTAAATCTGGAAGTTCTCTTACAACTCAATAATAAAAAGATAAATAACTCAGTTGAAAAATAGGCAAAGGATTTTAGTAGATATTTCTTCAAATAAGACAATACAAGTGATCAATGGGCACATAAAAAGATACTGAACATCCCACTAATCATTAGGGAAATGCCAATCAAATCTACCAAATGAAATACCACTACACACTGCAATCAACTATTCATATAATCAATTAGACAACAAGCAGCACTGGTAAGATGTGGGGAAACTGGAACCCTCACATGTGGAATGTAAAATGGTGCGGCCACTTTGGAAAACAATTTGAAGTTCTTCAAAATGCCAGACATACTTTTACCAGATGATGCAGCAATCCCAACTCCTAGGTGTATCCAAGGAAATGAAAATACACGTCCAAACAAAAACGTGTATACGAATGTTCACAGCAGCATTATTCTTAATAACCAAAATATGGAAACAACTCAAATGACTAGCAACTGATAAATGGATATATGAAGTGTATTTAGCAGTAAAAAAGAATAAATATGAAGTAATGATCCACGTTACAAAGTACATGAAGCTTGAAAACGTGCTAAGTGACAGAAGCTAGTCACAAAAGACCACAAATGGTATCAGCCCATTCATATGAAATACCCGGAATAGGCAAATCTATAGAGGCAGACAGTAGATTAGCAGTTGCCTAATTTGGGGGATGGTTTGGGGGTAAGGAAAAGAAGGTAGGGGTAATGGGTGTGAGGTTTCTTTTGGGGGTGATAGAAATACTACAAATTTTATTGTAATAATGGTTGCACAAATCTGAATATACTAAAACCACTATTAAATTATACACTTTAAATAGGTAGATTAAATGGTATGTGAATTACATCTCAATAAAGCTATTTAAAATAAAGCTGTCAGGAAATTCTGAAGAGATCATTGACTCTGAGCCTTGCTATGAGGTGATCCAGGTGGGCTGCTTGTTGGGAGCCCCTGGCATCAGCATCTTCACGCTGCATTCACCAGGAAAGAGGTTTCTACCATCTCCCAGAGAATGAGGTTCTATCTAACAGTGTTCCGAGAGTTCTTTTAAAAAAATTTCTTTTATTTAGACATGAATTAGAAATTTTTCTCAGAGAATAGAGTTTTGGTACAACTAGTTCTTGTCAGAATAACTGAAAGTACTTTCCAGAGATCAGAAAGAAGGGAACTGGGCTTCCCTGGTGGCTCAGTGGTGAAGAATCAGCCTGTCAATGCAGGAGACACAGGTTCAATCCCTGGTCCAGGAGGATCCCACATGTCAAGGGACAACCAAGCCCATGCACCGCAACTTCTGGGCCTGTGCTCTAGAGTCCGGGAGCCACAATTACTGAGCCCACGAGCTGCTACTACTGAAGCCCGGACGCTCTAGGGCCTGTGCTCCACAACGAGAGAAGCCTCTGCTCACTGCAACTAGGGAAAAGCCCAAACAGCAACAAAGACTCAGCACAGCCAGATAAATGAATAAATTTTAAAAAAAAAAGAGGAAGGGAACTGACATTTACTAAGCTTCTACCATGAGCTAGGCACATCCCATTCATTAGTGCACTCTGTGAGGGTGATGTTACGTTAATATTCTCATTTTTATAGATGAGGAAACCAAGGTTCAGAGTAACACAGCTAGAAAGAGGTGAAGCCCTGATGTCTGAATCCACTGCCCAAGCACTGCTCACTTTACTACACCTGCCTCTGCTTTGGTTAGCCTCCATTCAAACAGATCCTTCTTATCTTTCTCATTATGAAAGAGTGCCATTGAAACAGTTCTTCTCATCCACTCATATGAGCCATGGTTCTCTGACAGACACCATGAGAAGTGAAATTAGGGTTATGTGGCATGAAAATATCACTTTCCTCATGGAGGGACTGAGATCATGTCTTATATTCTTTGTATGTTCAACAACCCCTAGTACAAAAATTTGTACTACTTCTCCCCAAAATACCAAAGTATTTTACTTTGTAGATGGTAATTATCTTTAGAATAATTCCCCAAGTTTGTGGTAAAAACTGGCTATGGTATTTTTTTTAAAGGGAAAATCATGAAAGAGTTGGCACACTTACCTCTGGCATCTGTTTTATCTGACTCACTGAGACCTAAATCATCTTTGGCATCAGTGCTTCCCTCAACACCATGTCTTATAAAAAACCTAATATCATTTTCATTCATTTCATTCTCATCATCTGTATCATATTTCTGTAGTCCTTCTAATAGCTTTACTGCTGCTAAATGGGCAAACCTGTAGAAAAGAATTAGTAATTAACAGGATCCATAATCTTTTTCAAATTTAAATCACAGTTTGTACTTAATTTAGGGAATTACACTCTACATCATCTCACCAGCTCACCCACCACTAAAGAAGCAAAACTGTATCTGAAAGTCGGTGACAATGTGACACATATCCAGCTATGCAGGAAACTCAAATAGTTAGTGGAAACGAAGGACAAGCAGTCATACTAAAGGCTGATTCCATATTTTTGGGAGAGGCCAATTTATATGGCATGTGGAATCTTAGTTCCCCAGCCAGGGACTGAACCCAGGTCCTCAGCAGTGAGAGTACAGAGTCCTAACCACTGGGCTGCTAGGGAATTCCCAGATGCCATAATTTTTAGTGGCAAAAATCCAACTGAAAGAAGTGATCTACTATCAAAAGAATATGTGGTGTGCCCCAGACAGAGCTGCTCAACTGGGCAGAAAACCCAGAACCACCCTACCTGATCTACCTGTGTTTACTACCGTTTCCTGACGGCCTAATTTAGGTTGTAGAATTAGTTCTGGTTCCAGTTTTAGGGAAAACTACAGCTCTAGCCCCCTTAATCTTCATCCTTCCTCAACCCTCAAACACTCAGCATGGCTTTGAAATTTAATGGAAAAATAATGGCATTTCTATCCACATTTCCTATTTTCTTTGATCTTCTCCACACCTCTATGAAGCTAGTAATATACTCTTGGTTTTCAGGTTGTTGCTGTGACTGTATGTAATCTGCATATTTTTTCCCAAAGTTTTGCTAATTAAAATGTTTAATTGCTTTCTCTTAGGAGATGAAGAATTACTCACTAAACACAAAAACCTCAAATCCCTATTTTTTCCTCACATACTTACGTAACCACATGCACACATATATCCTAACCTTTCACCAGGTATTGCAAATCATTAATGATATAGTAATAAACACAGGAAGTTGTAAGGTTAAAAAAATTCATGATAAAAAAAAATTCATTATATCTATTACTAGACTGTAACTTAAGAGCTAGCACTTACTGAGTACTTGCTTTTCAAGAGATTCAAGGGTACTTCTATAACACCACACTCACACTTAGCATTTTAGTGGAGGAATGACAAAAAAATGTGGGCCAGACATAATCACTCGTGATACTGATATAGACAAACAGATCCACGGATAAAATATAGGGTACAGAAATAAGCCCATGTATACATGGACACCTAACTGGGACAAAGACATAAAGGCAATTTAGGAAAAAAGACAGCTTTTTCAACAAATGCTGCTAGAACAATTAGATACCCATATGCAAAATAAAAAGAACTTAGATGCATACCTCATACCATATACAAAAATTAAGTCAACATGGATCACAGACATCAGTGTAAAACCTAAAACAATGTCTAAAAGAAAACAAAAGGGGGATCAGGATGGGGAACACCTGTAAATCCATGGCTGATTCATGTCAATGTATGGCAAAAACCACTGTAATACTGTAAAGTAATTAGCCTCCAACTAATAAAAATAAATGAAAAAAAAAAAATTTCATGGCTGCAGTCACCATCTGCAGTAGATTTTGAGCCCAAGGAAAATAAATAAATAAATAAACTAAATCAAGCTGCTACTTAAAAAAAAAAAAAGAGGAAGAAATCAAAGATTTCTTAGATATGATACCAAAAAGAGTATCCCATAAAACAGCAAATTGATTAAAAAAAAATTTTTGTTCTTGGGACTTCCCTGGTGGTCAGTGGCTAAGACTCCACACTCCCAATGCAGAGGCCCAGGTTCCATCCCTGGTCAGAGAACTAGATCCCACATGTCGCAACCAAGAGTCCACATGCCACAATTAAAGATTCTGCATGCCTGCAACTAAAAGATCCCATATGCTGCAACTATTTTTTTTTTTAAATCTTACATGCTACAACAAAGGCTGAAGATCCTGCAAGCTACAACTAAGACCCAGCACACTCAAATAAATTAGTAAACATTTTTTCAAAATTATTTTTGCTCGTTATTAAGAGGATGAAAAAACAAACCACAACTGAGAGAAAATCTTCACAAAACAAAAATCTGAGAAAGAATTAGTATCCAGAATATAGAAAGAGCTCTTAAAACTCAACAACAACAACAACAAAAAACTACCCAAAGTTCTGAACGGTCACTTTGCCAAAGAAAAACAAACAAATGACAAATATGAATGTGAAAAGATGCATCAAGTCATTTTTCATTTGGAAAAAACAAAAGCCACAATAAGATACCAGTACACACCTACTGGAATTAAGAAAATCAAAACATCTGGCAATATTAAACGCTGGCAAGACAAGGGGTAACAGAAACTCTCACCCATTGCTTGTGAGACGCATATCGGTGCGGTCACTCTGGACGGCACTGTGACAGTGGCTTAGAAAGACAGACACACCCTCACATTGGCTTCCCTGGCAGATCACACGGTAAAGCGTCCTGCTTACAACGCGGGAGACCTGGGCTCGATCCCTGAGTCAGGAAGATCCTCTGGAGAAGGAAATGGCAACCCCCTCCAGTACTCTTGCCTGTAAAATCCCGTGGACGGAGGAGCCTGGTAGGCTACAGTCCATGGGGTTGCAAAGAGTCAGACACGACTGAGCAACTTCACTTTCTCTTTACCATCTGACTCAGCAGTCCTACTCCTAAGTATTACCCAAGTGAATTGAATACTTGCGTTCACACAAAAATCTGTATGTAAATATATATAGCAGCTGTATTCATAATCACCAAAAAGTAGATACAAATAAAACATCCTTCAACAGGTTAGGGGATAATCAAACTCTGGAATACTATGGAATTCCACAGCCACTGCGACAAGAAAGAGATGAACCACTACACATGAACAAACTTCAAAATAACTATGCTCAGTGAAAAAAGCCACATACATAAGAGTATGAGTATATACTGTATGTTTCCATTTATATAAAATTCATTTAGCAAATGCAAACTAATCTCTAGTAACAGAAAGCAAATTCATGTTTGCTTGGGGATGCAGCAGTGGAATGCAGTGGAAGGGAGAGAGATTACAAAGGTGCACAAGATTTTGTGAGGAGTGAAGGAAAAGTTCACTCTCTTGATTGTGATTATGACTTCACAGGTATACACATGTATCAGAGTTCATCAGTTTGTGCTGTACCAATCTGTGTGCTTTAATGATAAATCTATTGTTAAAAATAAAGACAAAATTTAGCCTGAGTTGGTAATGATGCTAGTATGAGGTAAAACAAAACCATATTCCAAGGCTTCAAAAAGATCCTACAGGCAAAAATTTTATGGAACATGACCTCACAAACAAAAACTGCATGGCAACTTAATGAATAATTAGGCCTTTGCATCCTGTCAAGCCTCATATGCAGCTTTAGTCCACACTCCTATTTTAGACTCAAATTGTTCTGAGTCACATGCATTCCTTGAACACACAAGGCGTTCTCTTTCAACTCTTTCTCCTTCAAGTGGCAGCATAAATGTTGCTTTCACCAAGAAAAAAATTTTCCCAGACTTCTATATAAATTCTGACACCCTGCAGTTTCCTTCATAACTCTTACCACCATCTGTATTAACATTTCTCCCCCACAACTTTCAAACAGAAATACTTGGGCACTTTTTCTTCTATGTCCTTTATTGCACTTTATATAGGACTCCACTGGTGGATCAGATGGTAAAGAATCTGCCCACAATGCAGGAGACCCACGTTCAACCCCGGGGTCGGGAAGATCCTATATATAACGTGTACTGATAATGTAATTATAATAAATAAAGGTTACATTTGCACATTTATCTCTCCACAAGACCATAAGGTTGTTGAGAGCAAGGACTAAGTTTTTTCATCTTAGTAATTCTAATGCTAACCACAGCACTTGGAACGTGGTTAAGCTGAATGAAAAATAATCAAATGAATAAATGGATGAACTAAAGTATTCCTTGAGGACCTGATCTGAAATGAGCTCCAAGTGAGTAATAATGGGTGTTACACTTAATTCAAATACAAATATTAAAATCTGTTTCAAAATCCATGTGACTCCTTTTGATTATTCCTTTCTATTACACAGCATTTCTCAACAGGTACCAGCATTTGGGCGGGACAATTCCTCATTGTACGCCACTATTCTGAGCACTGTAGAATTGTCTGGCATCCTTGGACTGACCTCATGAAACATCAGTGATGGTCTCCATCATTGTGACAACACTCCTCCGCACACATTTCCAAATTCACCACTCCACAAAGAAAGGGGACAATACTATCTCCTAGCTTAAAATTGCTTTAGAGAGAAGAGCTGATACGTTGTCAAACATCAATTCAGCTTGAAAACTATCATGCCATCAGCACCTGACTGAGTCCTATAATTTCAGAAATCTTCAGAGATAGAATTCTGAGTATAAGAGAATACATGCAAAATTTTAAAAACAAAGAAGCAAAACAGGTAGAGATACCTCTTAGCCACATCACTGGGTCTCTCCCTCGCTTTGTTGGTAATGTTATTGTCTGCTCCCATTTTAATCAGCCATTGCAAACACTCTATATGGCCTTGCCCAGCGGCTGTAAAAAAAAAAAAAACAAAAACAAAATGCACACACACGAAAATATTGTTATCAGTAAACAATTTTCTAAAATTCTGGACAGTACCACTAGAGAGTACTTTTGTAAATACTAATCCTTACAATAATCAACAAAAGTAGGCTGGCCAGATGTTATTTTCTCTATGTCACTTATTCATTCATTAGACACATATTTAATCAAATGTTTGCTATGCTCAGCCCTTATGTAGAAACTTTACATACAGATACAAAAAAGCTGAAGCTCAGAGGATATTTATTTAACATCACACAGCCTATAAGTAATGGATTTGAAACTACAATCTATGCTTTGTGCTAACCCTTATCCAGTGCTCATCGACTGTACTCACAGCTTCTGACCAATCCTGTATCAAGCCAAATGTGAGTATAATCTATGTGAATGTGAAAGACTGGAAAATCTTTTGTCGTCTTCTATAAACAGTTTATTCCTCTGGCCTTCACAACTCAGAATTTACGGGCTCCTCGATGATCACATAAACCGTTCATCACCTCTCCTTAAAACACATGCACTCAACAGTAATTTTCACCTCCACAGCTCAGCTTATATGTTTTCACACCTGGTGCCCATCACCCAATTACATGCTCATCTAACTTCTCCCCTCCTCCTCAGTCCATCTCAAGACTCGGGGAAACTGTAGGGAGGCGGGGGGGAGTTCAATAATCTAGAAAGATTTTAGTTTAGATTCACTAAACAACAGACTGGAGGACAGGACAGAACTTAGAAAGTGGCTGGCATGCAGAAATATAATAAAAATAATAATACAGAGTTGATGAAAAAATGATGAAGAAAATGAATGAAATCTTAGCTCTACTCTCACTAGTTGTGCAACCTCAGTCCAGAAACCCGAGGCGGGTGATATAAATTGGAAATTTGGGATTAACAGATAGACTACTATTTATAAAACAAATAAATAACAAGGACCTACTGTATGGCATAGGGAACTATATGCAATAACTTGTAATAATCTACAATGGAAAAGAATCTGAAAAAGAATATATACATATATGTAAATCTAAATCACTTTGTTATATATCTGAAACATGTAAATCAACTAAACTTCAATTTTTTTTAATAACATTAAAAAAAAAAAAACCCTGATCCCTCTGGACCTCAATTTCCTTACCTTTTGCAGAGTTGTTGTCACATTTATAAGAATAATACACTACTGCTTCATAAAACTACAATAAGGATTAAATATGATGACAGTTTTACACCCTGTTTAGTGTTTACTAACATATTATATCCATATTCCCATGACACTTCCTCTGTAATTTAACCCAAAGAAACTTCTGTTCCTCACCATCTACTCCTGAATTCCTATTCCACGTATTTTAACAGCCAAATACTTTTTGCCACTGATTACACCCTGACTTACACAAATGTCTAGGTGCTCACAGTATAAGCATGTAGCTCCTTGGCAATAAGGTCTAAACTCATACTGTCTTCATGGTGCAGGCATGTGGTTGGTCTGAATACATACACGTGTGCTCAGTTGCTCAGCTGTGTCTGACTCTTTGCGACCCTACAGGGGACTCCACAACTGTTTATCTTTTAAGTGAATGAATGGATGGAGACGACCCCTTTGCAGAACTCTTCCTTGTTGTCTTAGCTTTCCAACTGTTTAACCCTTTAGGTCAATCATGTGTGATTCTGCATATATATCTGAATTATGTGCTGTGTGCGTGCTCATTCACTTAGTCATGTCTGACTCTTTGTCACCCCATGGACTGTAGCCCACCAGGCTCCTCTGTCCATGGGATTCTCCAGGCAAGAATACTGGAGTGGGTTGCCATTTCCTTCTGCAGGGGATCTTCCCGACCCAGGGATCAAACTCACGTCTCCAGCCATCTCCTGCACTGGCCAGTGGATTCTTACACCACTGAGCCACCTGGGAAGCCATGCTGAATATATACATGCCTCTCTAAGATGAGTCAAAGAAGAGGAACTTTTGGTATGACTCTGATCCTTTAAAAGTCAATCTCCAATACTGGCAAAAGTGAGGAAAGGACACAAAGCCAGACCCAGTGACAAAGCAATGCCCTCACCACAGCCCTGCATACAAAGGCCTGGAAGACTCTTGTCCTCCCCCCTTCTCTGCTTGACTCATCACCAAAACTCAGTGCTGGCTCCTGAAGAGACTGGGGTTTCTCTCAGCAAATCTAAAACCAGCTAACAAAGAATACTGCAGGGGACTTCCCTGATGGTCCAGTGGCTAAGGCTCCACACTCCCAATGCAGAGGGCCTAGGGTTCAATCCCTGCTGAGGGAACCAGGTCCCACATGCTGCAACCAACGATTTCTCGTGCTACAACTAAAGATCCCACACGTAGCAACTAAGACCTGGCACAGCCAAAAGAATAAATAAATATGTATTTTAAAAAAAGAACACTACAGGATTTCCCAGACCTCAAGATGCCCATCTTTGCTACAATGCTACAATAATGACACCCCACATACACATTAGCAATAGAAACCGGTTATGTATACAGGATATGATATGGAACTTTGCTCCAGGGTACCACATTTTAAAAAATACTCTATGAACATTTTGAATCTCCCCCCATTCACAAACCTCATGGTAAAGAGTTTTACACCTAAACATTCAGCGGAGATAGGTGAAATGAAATTCTCCGAGTCTAGGGTAGAACATTTACTGAAGTGAGGACCTTTCTATGTAAGGAAAAACTCCTTTCATGTTCCTCTTCCTTCTGCTCCACTGACCCTCCCTCTCTGATAAAACATGGTGCTTAGATTCTATACTTGAGACCCAATACGACTTAAATGAACTTTAATGATTAAGCTAACAACAGAACCAACAAAAACACGATCTGCGACTGGGACTCCCAGAAGTAATGTATGAAATAAAGTCCAATTCAAACACAAGACTATATTAACAAGCCTATATATATATATTAACAAGCCTACTTTTTACACTAAGACTTTAAATAGAATTATATTCCATTGATTATGAAGAAACTTATGACATATCACAAATCAAACAGAATGGAAATTCACACGCAGTAGGTTAAAGATTTGGTTTTTCATTTTATAAATAAAAGATTGTCAAGAATAAATCCTACAGTATATATTCCCAACACTAAGCTGACAATTTAACAGCCTGATTTAAAAACAAACATAAAAAGATTAAGATTCTCACAGAGGGAAGGAGAGCACAAAGAAAAATGGCAGATATTTTGAAAATGTGTTCAAATCTAATGTTCACTGATATTTCTATGGCAGTAAAAACATTTTTGCAGGGTACAAGAAAGAAGAAAATTCTACTCAACCTTTTTAAAAATATATATATTTATTTATTTGGCTGCATCAAGTCTTAGTTGCCACACGTGGGATCTTAAATTGTGTCATGTGGGATCCTTTGTTGTGGGGCGTGGGCTCAGTGCACCGAGGCATGTGGGATCTTAGTTCCCTAAACAGAGATCGAAGCCACATTCCCTGACTGCAAGGTGGATTTTTTAACAAATGGACCACCAGAGAAGTCCCCTGCTCAATCTTCTTTTCTAGAGAGATGGTTTCTGTTTCAATAAACTAATCAGTCATTTTTAGTCCAAAGAAAATGACAGTCCTCAGAAACTTCTCTGGTAGTGAACTTCACTTTAACTTCAGTGTCACAAGAGAATTTGTGAATTACCCTCAAATGTAATAATGCATAAATGTCCGACATAAAAGGAATTATCACACTTGAGTTGAAAATTAAGCACCCTGTATACCATATAAGGTAGACTGATACCTCTCAGCATATCAGGAAAAATTTTACATTTTCATGTGCTTCTAATGAATAATTACTTTAACAGTAAGTAACTCAACAGCAATTGTGTTAAAACTGAAGCAGGAATCATAACTTACCTTTATGCATAAGAGTTGATCCATTATTATCACGTTCATTAATATTAATTACCCCATCTTCTATTAATTTCTTAAGCATTTCCAAATCACCCTTAAAGGCAGCAACATGACCTGGAAATGCTAATGCTATGAATAAAAAAATTCAGTATTTCAGTAAACATAGGAATTCATTCTTTTTCCCTGCCTTAATCAGTCATACATTTCAGGTTTCAATATTATGAGAATGTTTAATTAGAATTAGTTCAGTTGATGCAATGACAAGTAATAAGATTATTATTGTGTGCCTTTCCATCCCTCAGGATATGAAAAGGACTATACTGTACCAGAACTATTCCTGTCATCTTCCCTGTTTCTCTCAGACCACCACAAAATACAAGGAGATGGTCATTTTCAACCCTTTGCATAAAGATATACTTGGTCTCAAGTGTACATCTGCACAGACCACTCCCTCTGTTTACAAGGAAGTGATGAAAGCAAAGGAAACTGGAAGCAGATGAGGTATACAGGTGTGTGCGTACATACACAGGTGGGAGTGCACCTGACCTGGGGCCCAGCACAGAGCAAATGCTTCGTAACATGTTGCTAATGGTAACAGTTACACACACTGGGCCCTTACTGAACGTCAGGCATGGCAGTATGCGCTTAAAAGGACTGCCTCATTTTGCCCTCTTAGCAACCCTGCAATAGCTGTTCTCAATTTTATATATGGAAAGAAAACAACCTAGAATACTCAAAAGGAATATTTTTAAAAGAACAAAGTTGAAAATATAGTAGCTGATTGCCAGTCTTACTATAAAGCTAGTAATCAAAAAGCTGTGTAGTATTGGCAAATAAATAGAATATCAATAAGACAGAATGCTTAAACAAAATATGGGACATCCATACAATGGAATACTACTAAGCAATAAAAAGTAATGAACTACTAATACACATAATACAAAGAAACAGCAAAAAAGCACCATGAGAAAAACCCAAACGAACCCAAAGGAAAAAAAAACAAAGAAGAGGCAAGGAAGAACAAAGGAAAAAAAGGGATGACAGGGTACCAAAAAATACCTGAGGAAAAGAAAACAATAAGCAACCCCACCGGAAGACAGGCTCCAGCAAATACAGTAAAACTAAAACAGAAAACACGAAAGAAAGTCTAGTCTACACAAAGAAGAATCCAACAAAAGGACAATCTTTAAAATAAACCACATAACCAACGAAAAAAGTCATAATGTGAGAGAAAATATATCAGATAAAATTAATAAAAGATAGGTATCAGAACTATATAAAAGAACTCAAGTAGTTTAGAAAAGGACAAAGAACAATTCTACAGGCAATTCATAGAAAAGTAAACTAAAACAGCCAGTAACTTTATGAAACAATGTTCAACCTTATTAGTAATCAAAAAATGCAAATTAAAACACAAGTTAAACCTCTTCATACCCAACTAAGTGGCAAAAATGTTTAAGTCTGACAACACTGAATATTGTTCATCTAAATTCTCACCAAACATTGCTGATGAGAGTGTAAATTATTACAACCACTTTGATGAAGAATGCAGCATTTATACCTATTTATACTGACGATGGGCATATCCCACCAAACAAAACCTAAAGCAGAATTTCCCAAGGGTTTGCCAAGGCAGAGCTCTCAGCCCTCAGTCTTCAGAGGAGACAAGCAGCACACCTGAAGAAGTCTCATCCACTGGTCCCAGCGTGCACACAAGTGTCATATGCAGTACAGGCTACGTGTGAAAAAGGCAGTGAGGCACTTCTCTAAAGAATATCTCGTACTTGCACACAAGGACACTTTTAAGAATATTCATCACCACATGGATTGTAACACTGAAAACTGTAAACAATCTAAACATCAAACTGGAGAATGGAATAATAATGTTTTTATTAAATGCCATACTACACAAAAAATTTAAAAGAATAAACTAGAATACATCTATCTAATAAGCCTGAAAAAGCATAACATTTCACAAAAAAAAGTCAGAGAAGGATACATACTGTTTTATGCCATTTTTATCAAGTTTTAAAAGAAGTTTCAGGGACTTCCCTGGTGGTGGTGAAGAATCCACCTGCCAATTCCAGGGACATGGGTTCATCCCTTGTCCAGGAAGATCCCACATGCTGTGGAGCAAGCCGTGCATCACAACTCCTGAGCCTGCCTGCTGCAACCACAGAAGCCCAGGCACCTAGAGCGCAGTGCCTGCAACAAAAGAAGCCCCGCACTGCAGTGAAGACTGGCCCCAGCTCGTCACCATTAGAAAAAGCCTGCGCACAGCAACAAAGATCCAGAGCGGCCAAAGATCAATCAATCTTTAAAAAAAAAAAGAAATTTCAAAGACTCCTAGTTGTCCACTGAAACCTCCTTCCTTTCATAGCAACAAGAGATGTAGCAGAGCTGAGGGTCCTCAGCTGGTTACTGAATTCTCCAGGCTTCCCCACAGCTGAGTGTGGCCATGTGACTGACTAACCTCTTGCCAATCGGATGTTAGCAAAAGTGATGACTGCAAACTAGACTTTGAAAATCCTAGTTTATACTTTGTTCTCTCCCCACCTCCTGCTGGATTAGCAACACCGACAGAGAGAGCTGGTTAGGATGACAACAGGTCTCTGAATGACTGCACAGAGCAAGATTCACTCTCCAACTGAAGCTATCCCATAAAAGAAATAAACTTCTGAATCATTTAAACTGTTGAATTTTAGGATTTCTCATTAGTTACAACAGTTCAGTTCCCTATTCTAAATATTCACAAAATGATACTGCATATTTTTGTGAGTACACATATACTAAATAAAAAACCACAGAATGGAATTATAAATCTAAAATAATGGTTACCTCTGAGGATGGAGAAAAGGGGATGAATGGTATTGAGAGAAACAGGAAACTTCAAGTATATCTAACCTAATATTTTATTCTTAAATCTAGTGGTATAAAGAATGTTCATTATGTTACATTAACCTCTATATATACCTGCTTAAAAGATTTCATACAAAGAAGAGAATCTGGATGAACTCTGTGGACAATGATACACAACATATTTTAATACATTTGCCTTATAACTCTCTTCCTTTTCTTTTCTATTCTGCTTTTTAAATGCTATAACACTTCAGATTATTACTTACTTTCTTGATCTGTTGGATCATTTCCTTCATACTCAGCCCCCTGGATAAACTGTAAAATGTTCTGCTTAAAGAACCTCTGGGCCAGGTCCAGTACATTTTCTCCATTATCATTGAAGGCTTTCAAACCTTGGGAGGCACTGCTCATTCTACTGAGTAGGAATTTAAAACAGTGAAGGTGGCCTTCCATGGCTGCTAAGTGAACTAGAGGTGAGAGGAAAAACAACAATTTAATTTTAGATTGACAATAAAATAACTTAAAAAAAATAACACGTTAATTCTAGTTCTCCTAGGGAGATGACTCTCCTACTCTAAATAACGGGGCTTCCCAGGTGGTACAGTGACAAAGAACCCACCTACCACCTTCCCTGGGTTGGGAAGATCCCCCAGAGAGGGGAATGGCAACCCACCCACTACAGTATTCTTGCCTCGAAAATTTCATGGACAGAGGAGCCTGGTGGGCTACAGTCCATGGGGTTGCAAAGAGTCAGACACCTGAGCATGCACACACACACATTCTATAGAACAGAGATGTACTCTAGATGCAAGAATAACAGACCATTTTTTCAGCATACATATCCTTAGCTAGCCTCCAAGTCAGGCCACAGCAGTAGGCTAAATAGTTGAATAGTTACACTTACTGTGAACTAGAAAAGCTAAGTGAGGGTCACCAAAGCGCAGATCTCAAAAAATTTTCATGGAAAGTGAAATCCAAATTGTGCAGCTTATAGGGGGGGAAAAAAAAAAAACGCTTTCTATTTATTATCAGTCGTGTCCGACTCTTTGCAACCCCATGAACTGCAGCACACCAGGCCTCCCCATCCATCACCACCAACTCCCGGAGTTTACTCAAATTCATGTCCATTTGAGTCAGTGATGCCATCCAACCATCTCATCCTCTGTCATCCCCTTCTCCCGCCACCAGGGAAGCCCTCTATGTAATATAGGTGATAGGTGAGTTATCTTAATATTTGGGAAAAAGTGGAAGAAATAAACCAAAATAGTCATTATGCAAATAGGGGTGATGTTATTTTTATCACTATGCATTTTGTCACTTTTCTATAAACATTATTTTTACTATAAACAAGAAAACTGGATCAAAACTATAGTCTATTCACACAAACTATCTCACCCATTCCTTCTCTTAAATTCTTGAAAATAACAGGAAAGATATTTCTTAAAGCCGTAATGACAAGAGAAACAGACAAGAATACCTTGAACAGACAAGAAGTCTGAAGAGGGCGGGGGGTGCTACCCTGGTGGTCCAGTGGTCAAGAACCTGCCTTGCAAGGCAGGGGATACAAGTTTTGATTCCTGGTCTGGAAAGATCCCACATGCCTCCAGGCAACCAAGCCCACCCACCCTACATCCCAAGCTCTACAACAGTAAGAAGCCCATGCACTGCAATGAAGACTCAGCGTAACTAAAATAAACTAACACTAAATAAATTTTTAAAAATTTTTTAATGTTAATGAATCCCTGGAAGAAAATAAAATGAATTAGACTGAGGGAGAGCCATAACCCAAAATCTGCAAAAAATAGGAGTGGTTCTTGAGTACTACAAGCTTAGAGGCAATAATTACAAAGAACAGGATGGCCTTTACATCTCTTGAGAAGTGATCATTGGGAAACAGTCCAATTCATGTATAAATCTTGGCTCTGGAGAAATAGGGCAGTGCCCAAGTTACCAGCAAAACTCAGGAGAATCAATTAAGTAACAATGTCCAAAAGACACTTTGTTGGCACGTGCCACTGTACGCTTTCTCAGCTGAACCTCCCATTGAAAAACTCCCCGTGAAAGCTCAGATTCCTCTAACTACTTCCTCATTGTATACACTGAAATGTATTATAGGAATTTCTAACTTTACAGGTCAAAAACTGAACTCCTTACCCTTTTTTACATACACACACAACTCTCCCCGTATCAGTTACTAGAAATGCTCTCCCTTCTGTGAAGATCAGGCCAAAACCCTGAGTCCTGTTTCTGTCAGTCCCCACATCTAATCAATCAGCAAATCTTATTGGCTCTACCTTTAAAACATATGCAAACCCCAATCACTTCTCACTATCTTTGCCACCTCTACACTGGCTAAGAAATTGTAGACTAAATTATAGCATCAAGCTCCTAAATGCTCATGCCCACACCCTCATTACAATCTAGTATTATGAACATAATAGCCAAAAATGATGCTCTTAAATAGATTACCTTTATGTACAAAATCCTTCAATGGCTCCTGTTACCTCTCGGCCTGATCATCTATTACTAACCTCTTCACTTCTGTTTGAACCACACTGACTTGGTGTTACTACTCACTATTACACAAATACACCCAGGCACGATGCTGCCTCAAGAGCTTTACACTTGCTGGAGTTCTTCCTAAAATGTTTCTCCTCCAGGATATCAAGACCTGTTCTCTCAACTCCAAGTCTTCACTCAACTGTCTTCATGAAGGTTTCTCTCACCACCGTATTTTAACTTCATCCCCTGTAACATTCTACTTCCCTTTGCAATTTAACCTAAACACATATCCTTATTTAATATATGTTTTGTTCATTAAGTTCAGTTCAGTTGCTCAGTCATATCCAACTCTTTGTGACCCTGTGAACCACAGCACACCAGGCCTCCCTGTTCATCACCAACTCCCGGAATCCACCCAAACCCAAGTCCATTGAGTCAGTGATACCATCTAACCATCTTATCCTCTGTCGTCCCCTTCTCCTCCTGCCCTCAATCTTTCCCAGCATCAGGGTATTTTCAAAAGAATCAGCTCTTCGCATCAGGTGGCCGAAGTATTGGGAGTTTGAGCTTCAGCATCAGTCCTTCCAATGAACACTCAGGACTGATCTCCTTTAGGATGGACTGGTTGGATCTCCTTGCAGTCCAAGGGACTCTCAAGAGTCTTCTCCAACACCACAGTTTAAAAGCATCAATTCTTTGTCGCTCAGCTTTCTTTATAGTCCAACTCTCACAGCCATACATGACCATTGGAAAAACCATAGCCTTGACTAGACGGACCTTTGTTGACAAAGTAATGTCTCTGCTTTCTAATATGCTGTCTAGGTTGGTCATAACTTTCCTTCCAAGGAGTAAGCGCCTTTTAATTTCATGGCTGCAATCACCATCTGCAGTGATTTTGGAGCCCAGAAAAATAAAGTCAGCCACTGTTTCCACTGTTTCCCCATCTATTTGCCATGAAGTGATGGGACCAGATGCCATGATCTTAGTTTTCTGAATGCTGAGCTTTAAGCCAACTTTTTCACTCTCCTCTTTCACTTTCGTCAAGAGGCTCTTTAGTTCTTCACTCTCTGCCATAAGGGTGGTGTCATCTGCATATCTGAGGTTATTGATATTTCTCCCTGCAATCTTGATTCCAGCTTATGTTTCATCTAGCCCAGTGTTTTTCATGATGTACTCTGCATATAAAGTTAAATAAGCAGAGTGACAATATACAGCCTTGACGTACTCCTTTCCCGATTTGGAAACAGTCTGTCGTTCCATGTCCAGTTCTAACTGTTGCTTCTTGACCTGCATACAGGTTTCTCAAGAGGCAGGTCAGGTGGTCTGGTATTCCCATCTCTTTCAGAATTTTCCAGTTTGTTGTGATCCACACAGTCAAAGGCTTTGGCATAGTCAATCAAGCAGAAAAGATGTTTTTCTGGAACTCTCTTGCTTTTTCCATGATCGAGCGGATGTTGGCAATTTGATCTCTGATTTCTCTGCCTTTTCTAAAACCAGCTTGAACATCTGGAAGTTCACGGTTCACATATTGCTGAAGCCTGGCTTGGAGAATTTTATACATCACTTTACTAGCGTGTGAGATGAATGCAATCGTGCAGTAGTTTGAGCATTCTTTGGCATTGCCTTTCTTCATTCATTTATTATTATTATTATTATTATTATTATTATTAGGGTCTGTCTCCCCCCTCACCACCAAACAAAGGCAGAGACTTTTGTCTGTTTTATTTGCAATGATATCCCCAGCACCTAGGGACTGACACACAGATACTTTAAAAATAAATTTTGAATTAATAATTTTTCAGAGAGAGATCTGAATATAAGCAGTATAATCCTGAGGCCACACTCTTAACCTCTACATTATACTATTAAAAATATACTATAAATGGTTATAAAATAACTATACATTTTTTAGAATGTATAGTTTTAAAGAAATAAAAGTTGAATGTTTTTTCAACAAGCAGGCAACAATAGACTAACAAAGTGATCAGGCAAATTCAATAAAGTACTAAATTAAAATGAAACCGCCCCTTACCTTGCATTACAGAAAAGTCTGTTATAAGTAGGCTGGAGATTTAAATGTAAAAGTGAAATAATAAAATTCCTAGAAGATAATATGAGTATCCTTGGGAATTCCCTGACGATCCAATCGTTAGGACTGCACGTTTTAACTGCAGAGTCCAGACTTAATCCCTGGTCGGGGAACTAAGATACCTCAAGCCACACGGTGTGGCCAAGGCGGGGGAATTTATACATACACACACATAAAAGAGTGTCTTCAAGACCACATAGCAGGAAAAGACGTTTTAGTAAGAGTCATAAAACACTAACTGTCGGGGTCTAGCCCCAGCAGGATCCAGGGGAACCCTCAGGATGAACGGCGTCGGCGAATGAGAGAGAGAGTGAGACAAAGCTCAGGGCTAAGTCTGAAGTTTATTTCTGCACAGCCCCTTTATACCCTTAACAACATCTTTGAGGGAAGTGCATATTGCTTACTCACAGGTCACCTCAAAACATTACAGCAACTTGACCTTCAACAGAAACAGGATATCACCCACACACTTTCGTTCAAGAGTCTTTCTTATCATTTGGCCTTCAGGCCTGCTAACATTTTATGGCTTGCACCTGGTGTGACTTAAGCAACTTCAGTAGCCGACCCTGTTTTTCTTATAATTAATCAATTTTCTTTTTAATAAGCGTCATCTCTATGGGAACTAGATAGGATTACATTTTTACAGAACAGAAATGCGAAGGACTGCAGAAACAGCAGATATGGCACAAAACAGGCCCTTAGTCTAAAAGTTAACTACCTGCAAGAAGTCGCCAGCTAATCTCTATCTAAAGTATTTTCTATTAGGCACATTTGTGACTATTATTTATGGAGCTTTTCTCACCCCGCGGAGCGGCCTATGCTTAATAGTTTCTTTTGTTAGCGTACTGTGTTTAGGATATTTAGAACAATCAAGAGCATTTTGTGCGATGAGATCACACATTTATCAAACAAGCCAGAATGCCAGCAAAATGTTTGAATGGAAGCATTTTCTTCATCTCTGGCCCCTTCACAGGGTACCAGCATCCAGATTTATTAATTAGGGTTTTAAGTTGGTCCTCATTTAGTGAAAGAGGAGCAGGAGAGCTCTCGGCAGACAACACAGAATCTGCAGCAGGGCAAACAAGAACAACAGCAGAAAAGGGGGGAGGATACAGGGTGGGGTAGAGGCCGAGGCCAACCTGGAGGCTCCCTTATCCTAGACGGCCTTGGCTGTCAGGTTTTTTCCTCGTGACCTCGTCATGGATGGGGCCCTGGACGGCCTTGCCTGCCCGGTATTTTCTTCATGACCTCGTCACGGGCGGGACCCCCCATAACGGCTCCCAGCATCTAACCACAAAGCAAGAGTTTAAAGTGAAAGTGAAGTCGCTCAGTCGTGTCCGACTCTTTGCGACCCCGTGGATTGTAGCCCACCAGGCTCCTCCATCCATGGGATTCTCCAGGCAAGATTACTGGAGTGGGTTGCCATTTCCTTCTCCAGTGGATCTTCTCCAGGGACTGAACCCAGGTCTCCTGCGTTGCAGGCAGATGCTCTGAGCCACCAGGGAAGCCCAAGGGAGAGCTTATTAAACATTAAAATTAAAACTTCTAGTCATCAAAAGATATCTTAAAAGAATGAAAAGGCAAGACATAGAAAAGATAGTTAAATAGAAAAGACAGTTGCAACACCTGTGACTAAGAGCTTGTATCTGGCATATATAGACCCCTACAATTCAATTACAAAAAGGACGGACAGTTTAATAAAAAAAAAACATAAGTTTCACACTGGTATTTCACAGAAGAAAATAACCAAACAGCCATTAAACATATGAAAAGATGTTCTACACCCCTAGTTATCAGAGAAAATACAAATTAAAACCACAATGAGATATTACTATATACTCAAAACAATGACTAAAACTAAAAAAAAACTGACCGTATCAAGTGTTAATGAGAAAGGAGAGTAACTGAAAGCCTTATACACTGCTCATGGGTGTATAAATTTATAACAAACGCTCCAGAAAATAGAAAGAAACCACACACAAAAGGACATCAGTGCATTATTTTATTCCATGGAATTCAGAAAGAAAAATACTGACTTTTATGTTGAAAGTCAAGGTAGTGATTAACTTTGGAAATTGGTAGTGACTAGAAAGAGGATATGAAAAAGACTATCCTGTTTCTTGAAACACTTCACAGAAAAGTGTTCACTTATGGAAATTTTCTGAGCTGTGCATTTGAATTGAGTGTTTCTCTATATGCATGTTATACTTCAAAAAAAAAAATTTAAAAGACTGAGAGTAAAATAGCTAGTTTCAGATACACAAAAATTGAGAGTTCAAGCCAACAGACCTTTCTTTACTAAATGAACAGTAAAGGATGTCCTTCACAAGGAAGCAATGTGATTTCAGACAGTGAGTAGTGTCACAGGATGGAAGATGAGGGCAGGGAGGTAGGTCAGAGCCAAATTATGAAGGCCCAGCCTGCCAAACTAAGGAATCAGAGATTTGCAGGGATCTAGGGAGTTTTTTTAAACAGGAGAATGGTTTGATTATAGTGATCATTTTGTCTGGACTTCCCCTTCACTTGTTTGCCAACTAAGATTCCTTTAAGATATAAGTCAACTATCATTTTCAGTAACCCATCACACTGTGGTCTAACTCTCTTCTGAACTTACAGCACCTCTCAGAAGACGACAGGGTATTACAGGTCTCAACTGACTACCTGAGTGTAGGCTAAACAACTGCAATGAGCAAATTAGTTCAAACATACTACTGTCCAATATTTGTACTATTTCTTTTAAGTAATCTGTGGGGCAGAGACATCTGTGGGGCAGTGTCCACTATTTGTACTATTTTTTTTTAAGTAATCTGTGGGGTGGAAACATAATTTAAAAAACAGTAACACTAGACAGTACATGAGAAAAGCAACTAGTGGGAAGAGTAAATGGAAGCTTTTTATTTTTCCAGTTTCTCTTTTGCTGCTAAAATGTTGTTCAAGGGAGAAAAAAAAAAATCATATGATGGGTACATAACATAGAAACAAGATTAAAAACTTTCATGTCAAGGGACTTCCCTGGTGGTCCAGTGGCTAAGAGTCTGTACACTCCCATTGCAGGAGGCAAGAGTTTGATCCCTGATTGGGGGACAATCCCCATGCCTCAACAAAGACCAAGCACAGCCAAATAAATAAATACTTTTTTTTTTTAATGTTCATGTCAAATATATTTTACTACTTCAGTTTTGTTAGGAACTGTTAGAATGATGACAGCTTAAATTTCTTAAACATGATTCAAACATTTGAAAAGTTTATATTAATGAAAATCAAAATGTTTGTTTTTGCAAATACCTGGAAGGTTTCCGTTGTAGTCCACATCTTCTACACTACATCCCCACTTCACAAGAAGTTGCAAACAGCCAAGCCGCCCATGAAAAGCTGCATAATGCACAGGTTTCCACTCTCTCTTATCAGTCACGCTGGGATCCTACAGATAACATTCACAAGGACTCAGTTTCCTTCCATCTTGCAGCAAAAACACTAAGTCTAGTAGCTTAATTCTATAAATGAGAACCAGAAGCTGTTCTTAAAACTGTAAGGCAAACACTAAATATAACAGAAATATTTACTGCAATCACTGATTTGAACATATCACCTAAAATACTAATGAAATTTTTAAATCTTTTTTAAAAAGAATATAACTTGCCACACAGAAACTGCTTCTAAAAAGGTACTTAACTAGTCATTTTACAGGTCACAAGTTCCTGACCAACAAAATGAAAGACAGATTCAAATGATCAAATTGTATCTTGGGAATGTAATCCAAGAGTTAATGAAAAATATTTAATTCTTATAAGAAGTTTTTTTTATAACCACTGGGTAATTTTAAAATATTACAATAAATGAAATTTTTGGAGATATAAATCACTTTGTAAATTAGTTCATGAAATAAGAGTTACAAAAGAAACACACAGGTAAACACATACCAATTCAGAAAGGTTACAATTGCTGGTTAAGATGTGTTTGGAAGCTTCAGTATCTTCCTGGTAAACTTTGAACTCATATGAAGGACATATAGGCTCTGAAATATTTTGTACCACTGGGCCGGTTTTTTTGTTGCTAAAGATTTAATTAAATTATTGGTTCCATGTTTAAAGATGGGAAAGTTAAAGAGAGAAATCAAATTACGTCCTCAGAGTCTTATGAAGGATATAAAAAGTCAGGAAGAGATAACCAGACTACCAAATGTTAGTCCATCTAAATGATTATACATTTTCACATATTAACAGGAACACCTCACCACTCCACTTCGGAGCATTATTTGTAAAGTGAAAGAATGTCCATGTGTTGCAGCAAGGTGTAAAGGAGTGCACCCACGATCATCTTGAGCGGCCAGGTTGGCTCCATTGATTATAAGAGCCTGAAGGCAGAGAAATAAGAAGGAATGTATGTGAACACAGACGCTAAATCATGCAGATACAGATTATTTAAAGGCAAGCAATTTATTAATCTATAGCTAAGCTATTATGTAAGTTTTTTTCATGCGTGCTACACGCAAAGTCTAAGAATTTCTTAGCCAGTCCTAAGAAAAAGCTTGAAATCCTTTTTAACATTACCTAGGAGACACTCATAACCGATTTCACATTTTGAGTATGTACATATAATTCATAAAACAAACTTTTCATGAGCACAGATTAAAAACCACTAACAAATAATTTAATGCTAAGCTAATAAAACTGAAATTTAAACTTCCTCTATTTCAAAAGCAGAATCTTTTATTAACTGGGTTTTTAATATAATAAAAGGACTTCATTATTAAAGTAACCAATTCTAAGCTCCAAATCAAACTTCTAACTGCATCTGAGGAGATTCCATATGAATTTACACTTGGCCCAGTTTCTATATATGGGTTATAGAATATACACAACATGTCCCTCTATATAATATACAGAGCAATTAGTTTAAAAAATTATTAGCTAATATTTTTCAGTTTTATCTTCCTCAGACCTTTTTCTTTTCTAACCAGCCTATATTTACCAGTATCTCAGCTAAAGTTTACTTAGTCATAATTCCTCCCAAGAGTTTTAGGAAGAATAGCTTCCATGATTTTGGCTGACTCTCATTAACAAACCAGTCAATAATCATCACAAACCACACACCAAGGGCTTACTACATCACTACAAAGAATATAAAGATGTATTAACTTAGGGAATTAGGATATATGTAGAGACAAAGACAATCAACTATACAAAGCAGTCCTTGGTAAGTAACAAATGCACAGCACAGTACCCAAAAGCATCACAAAAGCTCTAAGAATGAAGAGATCACTTTGAGGAAGAAAAGGACAATCAAGGCAGAAAGAATGGCTTAAACCAGTGCTTAGGGGAAGGCAAGCATCAAGTAAAACTTCATTTGACCTTGATACCCCCTTAAGTTACTGCTGTATTTGTACCTTCCTTTCACTGCCTACTTTTCAAATTAATAACCTCACTGCCTGAATGTAAAGTCCACCTACAAACTGGGTGCCATCTCTATCATTCCAGAAATACAGCCAACCTCCCACTACAGAGTTCTCAAATTCAATGGCATTTCCTTAAGTGTTGTTCCTCTTAGTTTTATTCTGTAACTGATACACTACCTGACTTCTTCAGCTTCTTCCTTCACTTGCAGTCAATGCATCCCGGCTCTCTATCTCTCTTTCTCCTCTAAATTCCTTACTCATTTCACTGCTTGCTTCCATCCCTACTAGTAACATGCTTCAAAACTCAATTCTCAATACTCCAGACACGCTTCTCTAAGCTTTATTTCTCCTGAAATCTTGCTCTCCAGTGCCCTTTTCAACTGTCTGGACCATCTGTACCTGAATGACCAACAGGCACCTTAAACTCAACATAAGCCAAACTGAACTCAACATCCTTCCTCCTAAATCTCCCCTGCCTTTCAGATGTCCCTATCTATAGTGCCATAATTATCCGGCATTCTGACTCAGAACCTTACAGTCTGACTACACTTTGGCAGTGCTTGCTTTGAAAGATATTTTAAATAATTTTCTTTGTTTCTCATTGCAACCAACTAATCTTATCCTCTATGGTTAATGATTATACCAAAAGTCTCTAATTTTCTTGCTTCCAAACTCTATTCATTCTAGATAATCCTGGATGCATCATGCTAAAATAACTTCCTAAAATACTGTTTTCAATACCACATTCCCCTGTTAATGTCCATGTGCATGTGTATATATGTGTGCACACACACATATATATATACACACATATAAAAGTCTCTTTCCTATACAAATGAATCTTTTTTCTATTACTAAGACATTTTAAAAATCTGGCTTATCTAAACTTAGTTCACAACAGTTCACCTAACAAACCATCTACACTCAGTCAAACTCATACAACAGTATATTCCTCAAACACACCACACTTTTCCAATTCAAAGATTTCACACAGAATTATAGCATAGATGTTAATAGGACAAAGTCTGAATTCAAACTTCGGCTTTGTCACTAACATAGGCAGCATACTTAACTTTGAATCTGTTTCCTAATCTACATGAAAGGAAACTCAAAACACCATTGTATTAAATGAAGTGATGCATGGGAGACTGTGATTGACAAAAAAGTGTTTGATAAATTTAATCATTATTTTTATTTTCTCCTGACACATTCCCTACTTACAATGCTTCCTCACAACTTATCTTCTTAAAATCAACCCATTCTTTTAGGATTAGCTGAAGTTTCATTTGGAAGTTTCATTCCCTCCATTTATGATTCCTCTATCTCAAGTTCTACAGTTCTTTTCATCTATGCTTTCATGAGAATCTTACTCATAGACTATGATGTGTACTGTTTTGTAATTCACTGAGTAAAGGTCCTGTCATTGCAAATAGAATCTCAGGCTTCTTACAGGTAGGAACTGTTTGCTTATACGATTTTGTCTTCCTCCAAGTTTCAATCCATTTCACTACATTTATTCAATCTACTTACTCTAATAAACTAGATCCTGACACATATTAATGTGTAACTCTAGCTGAGGAAATACATTGAATGAGGAATTTTAGGCATGGAAATCTGGACATGACTGTAACAGCCCTTAAAACAACCCAAACAGATAGCCAACTACTTTAGATAAAATAATTTCAGATCTTACACAATCTGTTTGAGTGATTTCTTTTGTTGTTGTTTAACTGCTCAGTCCTATAAGACTCTTTGAGACCCCATGAACTACAGCCCGCCAGGCTCCTCTGTCCATGGAATTTCCCAGGTAAGAACACTGGAGTTGACTGCTATTTCCTTCTCCAGAGGATTGTCTTAACCCAGGGATCGAACCTGCATATCCTGCATTAGCCGGTGGATTCTTTACCACTGAGTCACTAGGGAAGTAATTTCTAAAGCAGTTAAATGCACTGACTTTTTAAAGAAGTAACCAAGGGTTTCTCTGGTGGCTCAGTGGTAAAGCATCTGCCTGCCAATGCAGGAGACATGGGTTCGATCCCTGATCCAGGAAGATCCCACGTGTCATGGAGCAACTAAGCCCATGAGCCACAACTACTAAGCCCGTGCTCTAGAGCCCAGGAGCCCCAATTGCCGAAGCCTGGGCACCCTAGAGCCTGTGCTCCCCAACAAGAGAGGCCATGTCAATGAGAAGTCTATACATCACAACCAGAGAGTAGCCCCCACTCGCCATGAGAGAAAAGCACATACAGCAATGAAGACCCAGGACAGCCATAAATAAATTAATAAAATTATAAGAAAAACATAACAAGTAACCAAGTTATTATTACCTGCATGCAAGCATCCTGTCCCCTGATAGCAGATATGTGAGCTGCCGTCCAGCCTCGCACGGTTACTTGTGAGACATCAGCGCCATGCCAGAGAAGCCAGTGAAGACACTGCATGAAGAAAACCACCATGTTAACCATGCTGGCAGGTATTTGACAGTTTTCTATCTTTCAAGTTAGTCTATCATCATAAAATACTACAGCCTGAGAAGCATCACTAGTGAAGGAGGGCGCAGGTATAAGAAAAACAAAAGCACAATCACATTGATATGATAGCCCACATTTGGCCTTATTGTTGGGTAAACAATATGGAGTGGTAAGAGATGAGGAAAACTGGAGACCACCTTCCTTATCCGTAAGTGAAATTCTACTCTATCCCAGCCAGTTTTTGCACTGAATGAAATGCTGGTCCAAATCTTATGTTTGACCAATACTTTACAAGCCCAACAAAACATATTTGTGGTTAAATTCATTCAACAGCTGCCAATTCACAACCTCTACCACAGGTTTTGAAATGGATCCAGAAAATTCTGTATCAGAGCAAATACTGTTATTCTGAGAAGGCAGTGACAAAAAACTATCCAAAAGAATTAGAAATGCAAGAAGGCAAACTGATTGTCTGAGAAGGGTTTACAAATAGCTGAAAAAAGAAGAGAAAGTGACAGGCAAGGGAGAAAGGGAAAGATATACCCAACTGCATGCAGAGTTGCAGAGAATAGTAAGGAGAGATAAGAAGGCCTTCTTAGATGAACAATGCAAAGAAACAGAGGAAAACAAAAGAATAGGGAAGATTAGAGATCTCTTCAAGAAAATTGGAGCTATCAAGGAAACACTTCATGCAAGGATAGGCTCGATAAAGGACAGAAATGGTAAGGACCTAACAGAAGCAGAAGATATTAAGAAGAGGTGGCAAGAATACACAGAACTACAAAAAAACACCTTAAACCCAGAAAACCACAACAGTGTAGTCACTCACCTAGAGCCAGATATCCTGGAGTGTGAAGTCAAGTGGGTCTTAGGAAGCAATATTACAAAGCTAGTGGAGGTGATGGAATTTCAGCTGAGCTATTTCAAATTTTAAAAGATGATGCTGTTGAAGTGCTGCACTCAATATATCAGCATATTTGGAAAACTCAGCAGTGGCCATAGGACTGGAAAAGGTTAGTTGTCATTCCAATTCCAAAGAAGAGAAATGCCAAAGAATGTTCAAACTATTGTACAAAAATTGAGCTCCTTTCACGTGCTAGTAACTTAAAATCCTTCATGACAGGCTTCAGCAGTAGGGAACCGAAAATTCCCCATGTACAAGCTGGTTTTAGAAAAGGCAGAGGAACCAGAGATTAAATTGCCAACATTCGTTGGATCATCAAAAAAGAAAGTTCCAGAAAAACATCTACTTCTGCTTTATTAACTACGCCAAATCCTTTGACTGTGTGGATCACAGCAAACTGGAAAATTCTTAAAGAGATGGGAATACCAGACCACCTGACCTGCTTCCTGAGAAATCTGTATGCAGGTAAGGAAGCAACAGTTAGAAATGGACATGGAACTGGTTCCAAATCAGGAAAGGAGTACATCAAGGCTGTATATTGTCACCCTGCTTATTTAACTTATATGCAAAGTACATCATGAGAAATGCTGGGCTGGAGGAAGCACAAGCTGGAATCAAGATTGCCGGGAAAAATATCAATAACCTCAGATGGGCAGATGACACCACCCTTATGGCAGAAAGTGAAGAAGAACTAAAGAGCCTCTTGATGAAAGTGAAAGAGGAGAGTGAAAAAGTTGGCTTAAAGCTCAACATTCAGAAAACTAAGATCATGGCATCTGGTCCCATCACTTCATGGCAAATAGATAGGGAAACAGTGGAAATGAAAAAGGAATTCATAGGGCCTGGACTCCATCTCAGGCCTGTCCGTGCTGGTCGTGCGCGGCCACCTCTCCGTGGACTCTGTGCTTAGCACCTGTGGGAATGACAATGGAAGGATAAGACCCCCCTCTGGGCAGGGGAATCTTGAAGACACTAATCACCCCTGCCTCCAGACAGTATCTATCGAAATGTAACCACAGGCTTATCGGTTATTAACTGGTTGGAATGTAACCGTGGGCTTATTGATTGCTAACTGTTTGAACACATAACACATGAATGATGGGGTTATTGTGATTGTATTTACCCTTCCTTTGTAAGCTTAAAGGGATTTGGGCTGGTGGGTTTGGACATGTACACATGGGGTATAAAAGATTTTCACATGCTGGTCGGGGCCCTTGGCTAAGAGGAGACACTGCCTTGGGCCCGCTGGTGTAATAAACTGCACTCCACTATCTGCATTGTCCTTCTGAGTGAGTTTGTTTCCCACAAAGTGTGGCTATAACAGAAACAGTGACAGACTTTATTCTTCTGGGTTCCAAAATCACTGCAGATGGTGACTGTAGCCACGATATTAAAAGACACTTGCTTCTTGGAAGAAAAGTTATGACCAACCTATACAGCATATTAAAAAGCAGAGACATTACTTTGCCAACAAAGGCCCATCTAGTCAAAGCTATGGTTTTTCCAGTAGTCATGTATGGATGTGAGAGTTGGACTATAAAGAAAGCTGAGCGCAGAAGAAGTGATGCTTTCAAACTGTGGTGTTGGAGAAGACTCCTCAGAGTCTCTTGGACTGCAAGATCCAACCAGTCCATCCTAAAGGAAATCAGTCCTGAATATTCATTGGAAGGACTGATTCTGAAGCTCAAACTCCAATACTTTGGCCACCTGATGGAAGAACTGACTCATTTGAAAAGACCCTGATGCTGGGAAAGATCAAAGGCAGGAGAAGGGGATGACAGAGGATGAGGTGGTTGGATGGCATCACCAATTCAATGGACATGAATATGAGCAAACTCTAGGAGATAGTGAAAGACAGGAAAGCCTGGCTGGCTGCAGTCCGTGAGATCACAAAGGGTTGTGACATGAGTTAGTGACTGGACATGAGTTAGTGACTGAACAACAAAAGAAAATAAGTAGCACATTAAACAAAGGGAGGGAACCAAATAAATCTTAAGATTTTTTAAAATTAACTTAAGTCTCAACAAATACACTACTAGAGGTCTGTGCCACATACGGTGTTACAGTCTATATATATTTTCAACTTTGTCGTCTACCTTCAAGAAGTTTCCTTCTTGTATCATTCAGATACACTGTCACATCAGTCATTATGATATATCATTTTTTGGAAAGGGCAGTAACTTAGGTATCATCTGTCTATCATGGAGATTAATGGCTGAAAAAATATGAAGGGGGTGCTCAACCTCACTAATAATCACAGTAAGACATTCATTTTTACTCAACAAATATTTATGGAGATGACTGTATGCTAACACTGCATAGGTAGTGAAGAATAAAACCACTGTAAACACTGATGTACAAGGTCTCTATCCTGGGTAAATACGTACAAGTGAGACTGCTAGGACACAGATAAGTGTATGTTTCACTTTACAAGAAACTGCTAAACTGTTCTCCAAAGCAGCTCTATCAGTTTACACTTCTACCAGCAGTGTATGAGACTTCTAGTTGTTCCATATCCTTGTCCATATTTGTTATTATCATTTTTCTGGGTTATGTTTTTCTTTTTGTTTTGCCATTCTAATAGGTGTGTAGTGGCATCTAATTGTGGTTTTAATTAGCATTTTCCTACTGGCTAATGATGTTGAACACTTTTTTCATGTGCTCATTACCAGTCATATATACTCTTTGAGAAAGTATCTATTGAAACCATTTGCCCATTTTTAATTGGGTTTTTTAATTTTCTTACTACTGAATTGTGAGTGTCATACATTCTGGCTACAAGTTCTTAGTCATATTTATGATTTGCAAAAATTTCCTATGTTTTCATCTAGAAGTTTTATTAAGGTTAAGTTTCACGTTTCTTTATGACCTGTTTTCAGTACATTTTCATATATAGTACCAAATATGAACTAAGGTTCACTTTCTTACATACGATTTTCCAGTTGTGCCAACACCATTTAATAAAAATACTGTTTTCCATTGGACTATATTTGCATCTCTATCAATAATCAACTGACCAATCAGCAGGACTTCACAAATGACTAAGTGAGGAGCTTCGTAAATCCTCCCCAAGAAGCAATGACAAAGCCAGACAAAACTGTCAAAAACAACCATTTGGCAGTGGTCAGGACTCTGCACTTCCACCACAGTGGACGTGGGTTTCAGCCCTAGTTGGGGAACTAAGATTATGCATGCCAAGCAGTCATGGCCAAAAAAAAGAAATTTAAAGATTCTGCAAGGCATATAACGAAATGAGAAGCATGTATCAAGAAATATCTGCAGATTCTAAGAACAGGAGGAGCCTGTGGTAACATATTAGCCTGGGACTACAAGCATCCTTAGCCCCAGCTTCATGACACAGAAGTTCTACCCAGGTAGACAGTTCCACTGCCCTGCTAAAGAGACTGAAAAGTCCATGCCCAGGCACATTTTAAAAACAAATCTACTCCTCAGTGGCAACAATCTAGGAAAGCCAACATCAGAACCAGTCATGATACTGGTTGGGGCAAACACAAAACTAAAACCCTCCTAGAAAATTAACAGAAAAATTCAAGAAATGAGACAACCTAAGTGGGTCTTGCCAAGATTCCATTTATCCTTTTTGGTCTAAAAAGCTGGGTACATGTACAACATTGTTCATACCCAGGAAAGATTGAAGAAGTCCCAAGCTGGCTAGACATTCCTGGCTAAGGCCTGAAAACACATGGGGAAAAAAAAAAGGCAAGCTGACTTATAAACCGCTTGGACTTTGAACACATTCTCTAAGCCATACACAGAATCATTAGCAAGATGGTCACCTTAGTGGCTCAAGGTATTTAAGCACAGCCTCTGATTACTCACTGGCTGACCACTAAGCTATGCTGTCCCAGGGGTGACCCCTATGAAGCCACACTTAAAAATAAAAATAAGAGGGAAATTCCCTGGTGATCCACTGGTTAGGATTCAGGTCTTTCACTGCAGGGGCACAAATTCAACCTCCAGTTGGAAAACTACTTATTAAGATCCCTCAAGCCAGGCAGCCAAACTAAATAAATAAATATTTAAAAATAAAAAGAATTAA